GATCAACCGCCGACTTCCTGCCCCGTCGACGGGGCCATCAGCCCTCAGCCAAATTCATGTGAAACATGTATGTGTGTGTATTAAATATTTTAATTTATTATTCCCAAGATTTAGCTGTTAGCTCTTGGACCCCGCCTTTCTAAGCGTCGGTTGTCTAATGTACCAACTCTCAGCCTCTTTTCCTCCATCATATCTAAACAACATATATTTTTATCTAACACACACACACACACATCCCCAAGATGCAGCCTTTAGCAGCTTCCTGACTTTCAGGTTCCTATTTACTGCAAGGTGAATAGAGGCATTAGTGTGTGTATGTTTGTGTCTGTGTGTGTGTGTGTGTGTGTACGTGTGTACGTGTGTGTGTGCGTGTGTGTGTTTGTGTGTATACTCACCTAGTTGTGGTTGCGGGGGTTGAGCTCTGGCTCTTTGGTCCCACCTCTCAACTGGCAATCAACTGATGTACAGATTCCTGAACCTACTGGGCTCTATCATATCTGCATTTGAAACTGTGTATGGAGTCAGCCTCCAATGTGTAATAGTCAACAAAATAAAATCCAGCCCATCAACCGTGAAGAGCTCAGTCCCCCAGGGTACTGTGCTTGCTCCAGTACTTTTTCTCATCCTCATTTCGGACATAGACAAGAACACAACATATAGCACTGTATCATCCTTTGCAGATGACACTAGGATCTTCATGAGAGTAGGCAACATAGAGGACACGGCGAACCTCCAGTCAGATGTAGATCAGGTCTTTCTATGGGCTACAGAAAATAATATGGTGTTTAACGAAGATAAGTTCCAGCTCATGCGCTATGGAAAAAATGAAAATATAAAAACGGAAACCACGTACAAAACTCAGGCAAATCATAACATAGAACGAAAAGGCAATGTAAAGGATCTGGGTGTACTCATGTCGGAAGACCTTACCTTTAAGAACACAATAAAGTAGCCGTCACAACTGCAAGAAAAATGACAGGTTGGATAACAAGAACTTTTCACACTAGAGATGCTATACCGATGATGATACTTTTCAAAACGCTTGTGCTCTCTAGAGTGGAGTACTGCTGCACAATGACAGCACCTTTCAAAGCTGGAGAAATTACTGACCTGGAGAGCGTGCAGAGATCCTTTACTGCTAGAATCCACTCAGTAAAACATCTAAACTATTGGGACCGACTAAAGAGCCTAAAACTGTACTCCCTTGAGCGCAGGCGGGAGAGGTACATAATAATTTACACGTGGAAAATATTAGAGGGGCTGGTCCCAAACCTGCACACAGAAATAACATCACATGAGACCAGAAGACATGGCAGGATGTGCAGAATACCCCCGTTGAAAAACAGAGGTGCAACTGGTACTCTGAGAGAGAACTCTATCAACATCAGAGGTCCGAGACTGTTCAACACGCTTCCACTACACATAAGGGGCATAACTGGCCGACCCCTCACAGTGTTCAAGAGAGAACTGGATAAGCACCTCCAAAGGATACCTGATCAACCAGGCTGTGACTCATACGTCAGGCTGCGAGCAGCCGCGTCCAACAGCCTGGTTGATCAGTCCGGCAACCAGGAGGCCTGGTCGACGACCGGGCCGCGGGGACGCTAAGCCCCGGAAGCACCTCAAGGTAAGGTTGCTAAGTATTCTTATATATCTACGTCTAGCTTCCAAGACAAGCACGTTATTACTTGATTGCAAACTGTTTATTGCTCGTAGTGAGGAAAGAGGAAGTAATTAAGCAGTATTAATAGTATGAAGTATTAATAATTAATACTTCAGTGTTGTCAATAATTTCGAGAGACATGAGACAAGCCCATGACATTACTCTAACAAGAGAAATGTTGAACAAGAATACTTGCATAATAGACAAAACCCAAGATTCAAGAAGATTACAAATTCTTGAGGCAATTCACATAAGAATAGAGCGACCTACCATGAACACCCAAATCACGGAACTATTTACTCTACCCACCATGAGAGTAAGGACAAGACAAGAACATATCGATGCCAACACAGAAGACAATGTCCAACATAACAGGCCAATTACACTGGATTAATCTTTGTGTTTAGATAGGAGATGCCTCGTATGGGCCAATAAGCCTTCTGCAGCCCCTATGTTTATCCCTTATGTATCCCCCCATGTTTTCACCTTCATTGTATATATATATGTACATGTATGTATGAGAGTGTGTACATGTATATATAATATTAATAATTTTGTAACTAGTGTCACAAATTGTTATTTGCTTAGCTAAACGAACTAGAGGGTTCAGTTCCTGAACCGATTATGTGCCTCTGTAATCCTTTACACCACCGCCCACGGGATGGGTATGGGGTGCATAATAAAGAAAGAAATAGAGTTGAATTGGCCTGATTAAGACTTTATGACCATGTAATCTATGTTTTGCTCCACTACTTACTGGTTGAGTATGGGGTGCATAACAAATAATAGCCTCCTTCGGGGGCGCCTTGTTTCTAAACGTGTTAGTCTTAAATCCTTTAATCTCAAATCTTGCTACAATGTACCTCTTAATATATGTTATGTACTCTCGCAACCCAATGTACCTTCTTGTATATAAATAAATAGATTTCAACTGTAAGGGGGGTATAGTTTGCACCTTGTTATTCTAATAATGGATAAATAATTCTAATAATGGAAGCGCTAATTATATGAACAAGTGCCATGTATTTATTCAGACGAGAACAACAGCGAACACAAACCAGCGCATATACGAACGGAATGGTTTGTATGTACAAACTTCTCAGTGAACGAAGTTGTTTCTAGCCCGGTATCCGAAATTGCAGTATACGACTTGACCAGTCCCCGCCAACCCAGCATCCATTGCTGTACGTTTGTACAAATTATCTTAAATATCCTTGTCCGCTTAAATAGTCCTCCAAGTTTATTACTTACTTGTAAATTTGAATTATGCCCAAAAATACAAGTCATTATTCGTACAGATAATAAGTAGTTTATCATGCACACTTTAGTGGTAGCATAAATGTCAAACAGCGAATACATCGCACCACTTTGAAAACGTAATTGTTAATTGTTATAAAGAAGCTAAGGTACACCGCAATTTTCTTCTACCTTATTCTATATGAGGGATTACAGAGGAATCAAAAGCCACGAGTGATACTATTATTATAAATAAAAGAGAGCTTGAATGCAACCAGCCGTGAGGCATTAAACACAATGGGATAATCAAAATCTGTAAAGTTCAATATACTAGCTAAAAATAGTTGCAAACTCACAGTGTAAGGCAAACTATTCTACAGGCAAACACAGCAACAAGAGAGGAAGTTACAGATCTCCATAATTGGATAAATGCTGTTACTGAAGCCCTCAAGCAAGCTCTTATAATGGGGGACTTTAACCATGAGGCAATAGATTGAGCAAATTTAACATCACAACTAGAATGGGAATGTCACAGTAAAAATCTCTAGGAAGAGATTCGGCCTGCTCCATCATCACCTATTCTACCATACCACGTATATATATTTAAGAACTACAGCCACAAGAGCAACAACAACTACTTTCCAGACATCTAGCCAGTACCACCAGTCTCCCCCCTACACCACGGCCCGTCACCCCACCTCACCTGGTCACCGGGAGCTCACGCCATCGGCTGAAACAAGCAGTTAACGTGAGCCGGTTCCTAGTTATCCACGACTACCAGCGCCACCTGGACGGTCAATGTTCCATATAAATAGGGCTACCTAGCCCACCATGATGACAGGAGACATCTCCCATCACGCAGGGGCAGGGTGCAGTCGCACCTCCACAGATCTCCAGTATCATCTGTTGATAATGGTAATGGCTCAAAAGGGCCACCACTTACGGGCTATTCATGCCCATGTCACCTTTTGGGTGGCTTAATCTTAATCAATCATCCACCATGATTCAGAACACTCCTGAGTGTTCTACTGAGTAGACCTGTTGACATACCCCGATGTGGTAACAGAGCTATTCAGTTTGGCTCACAGTAATCCCACACAATATTTTATTTGCCCATTAACGTAACATAAATTTGATTGTTCATCTTGTTTGTTTTGCACACTTTGTATTAGAGCCAAGCCTGGATATTATTTTATATTTTGTAATTTGTTTAACGTCAGTTTTCTATCAAAGTAAAGTATTTGTAAATGTTTTTTTCCCTCTTTCTTATCCTACAGTTACTTCACCATGAAGACAAATTGCAGTCTTAACTTTTTTTTTACTTTTTTGTTTTTAGGTTTATATGATTGTCATTCCATCTGCTCTAGAGAGACTGCACTGACCCCTATTTTTCTCTTCATAGGACAAATTTCTAAAATCCATGATTTTTTTTTCATTCAGCATGTGAAAGCCCACCGAGGTAGTATTAGTATGCTATATCCAGCATAATTTTTGCCTTTAAGGAAAAGGTGGTGATTCAACTGTATAAGTCTCAGGTGCTCTGTTGTCTACTACATATATTTATCTCTAACACACGTACACACATCCCATAAGAAGCGGCTGTCTAACTCCCAGGAACCTATTTACTGCTAGGTGAACAGGGGCATCTAGTCGCAAGAAACTTCCTCGGCCGAACGCGGACTTAGGACTACGACTCCCGAGCGCTGTCTACTCAGCCGCGAGGACCCCCCCCCCCCCCCCCTCAGTGTACTACCGAGATCTACGCACTACCGGGACCCGTGTTTTTGTAATACCTGTCTTTTCGCTTGTGTTGACTGTACACACATTTTGATAATATTATAAGAATGGGTTCGTATCAGATTCATAATTTGTACCAAGAGACAACACCGGAGCTGCCACACGTCAGCCGAGTGTCGGATGTTGATGGTGTCCAAAAAGTTCCCCAGAATTGATATGTCACAATAACGTCACTCCACGGGCACAGCATATATACACCACCAAAATTTGATAAAGTTTGCTTAAGAGAGGATAGATTGTTAGCTTAGGAGAGGATAGGTTAGGACAGAATAAGTTTTTCTTTAATGAGAATCGGTGACGACGCTATGGCACAACTTTTGGCCCTTTTTGAACCATAGTGTGTGGTAGTGGGCGTCCTCAGTCAGCTGGTGACAGACGGTGGAAGAGGTGGTCGTCGCGTGTCTCAGGTTATCCTCGTGTCTTCCACTATGGCAGTTCCCGAAAACTTGGTCAAAGTGTTTAAGTGAGTAGTGTAGTGGTGAGGATGTGTGTGGTGTAACTGTCTACCGTGGTGGGCCACCTGGGGCGGGTGTGGGCCGCCTGAGGCGGGTGTGGGCCACCTGGGGCGGGTGTGGGCCGCCTGAGGCGGGTGTGGGCCACCTGGGGCGGGTGTGGGCCTCCTGGGGCGGGTGTGGGCCGCCTGGGGGGGGTGTGGGCCACCTGGGGCGGGTGTGGGCCTCCTGGGGCGGGTGTGGGCCTCCTGGGGCGGGTGTGGGCCTCCTGGGGCGGGTGTGGGCCTCCTGGGGCGGGTGTGGGCCTCCTGGGGCGGGTGTGGGCCTCCTGGGGCGGGTGTGGGCCACCTGGGGCGGGTGTGGGCCTCCTGGGGCGGGTGTGGGCCGCCTGGGGCGGGTGTGGGCCACCTGGGGCGGGTGTGGGCCTCCTGGGGCGGGTGTGGGCCTCCTGGGGCGGGTGTGGGCCTCCTGGGGCGGGTGTGGGCCTCCTGGGGCGGGTGTGGGCCTCCTGGGGCGGGTGTGGGCCTCCTGGGGCGGGTGTGGGCCTCCTGGGGCGGGTGTGGGCCTCCTGGGGCGGGTGTGGGCCACCTGGGGCGGGTGTGGGCCTCCTGGGGCGGGTGTGGGCCTCCTGGGGCGGGTGTGGGCCACCTGGGGCGGGTGTGGGCCACCTGGGGCGGGTGTGGGCCACCTGGGGCGGGTGTGGGCCTCCTGGGGCGGGTGTGGGCCTCCTGGGGCGGGTGTGGGCCTCCTGGGGCGGGTGTGGGCCTCCTGGGGCGGGTGTGGGCCTCCTGGGGCGGGTGTGGGCCTCCTGGGGCGGGTGTGGGCCTCCTGGGGCGGGTGTGGGCCTCCTGGGGCGGGTGTGGGCCTCCTGGGGCGGGTGTGGGCCTCCTGGAGCCGCCAGGTCTTTCTCTCTCTCTAACTCTTGAAGTACTTCCTCTCCCAAATGATACCTTGTATTTGGCCTCCTGCTCCCTACACCTATCTTCATTACATTACATTTGCTTGGGTTAAACTCTAACAACCATTTGTTTGACCATTCCTGCAGCTTGTCCAGGTCTTCTTGAAGCCTCAAGCTGTCTTCCTCTGTCTTAATCCTTCTCATAATTTTGGCGTCGTCAGTAAACATTGAGAGGAATGAGTTTATACCCTTCGGGAGATCATTTACGTATATCGCAAACAGGATAGGTCCAAGTACAGAGCCCTGTGGGACTGCACTGGTGACTTCACGCCAATCGGAGGTCTCACCCCTCACTGTAACTCCGCTTCCTATTGCTCAGGTACTCCCTTATCCACTGGAGCACCTTACCAGCTACACCTGCCTGTTTCTCCAGCTTATGTACTAGCCTCTTATGCGGTACTGTGTTAAAGGCTTTCTGACAGTCCAAAAAAATGCAGTCCACCCAGCCCTCTCTTTCTTGCTTAATCTTTATCACCTGGTCGTAGTATTCTATTAAGTCTGTAATGCAAGATTTACCCTCCCTGAACCCATGTTGGCGATTTGTCACGAAGTCCGTTCTCTCCAGATGTGCTACCAGGTTTTTTCTCACGATCTTCTCCATCTTGCATGGTATAGAAGTCAAGGACACTGGCCTGTCGCCTTTTTGTATATTGGGACTACATTAGCCATCTTCCATATTTCTGGTTGGTCACTAGTAACCTACTGTACACTATGGAGAGTGGCAAGCAAAGTGCTCCTGCACATTCTTTCAATACCCATGGTGAGATTCCGTCCGGCCCAACAGCCTTTCTCACGTCCAGCTCCAATGGGTGCCTCTTGACCTCGTCTCTTGTAATTTCAAACCTTTCCAAGGCTGCCTGGTTTACTGCCACCTCTCCTAGCACCATGACCTCTCCTTGGTCTATTGTGAAGACCTCCTGGAACCTTTTGTTAAGTTCTTCACACACCTCTTTGTTGTTCTCTGTGTACCTGTTCTCACCTGTTCCTTCACTTGGTTTTCCTCCTGATGTGACTGTAGTAGCTTTGGTTTTGTCTTAGCTTTATTAGTAATATATCATTTTCATACTTTCTCAGCTTCTCACACTAACATACTTGTTCCTGGTTCTCTGGTATCTCTCTCTGTCTGGTGTTATCTTATTTCGGAAGTTCCTCCACGTCCTTTTGTTCAGTTCCTTTGCTTTCATACATGCCTATTATACCACAGATTCTTCTTTTGCTTCTCGGGTTTTTTTTCCTGTCGGGCTGGGATAAACCTGTTTACTGCCTCCTGACACTTTTGGGTGACATAGTCCATCATGTCTTGTACAGACTTGGTTGTGAGTTCTATGTCCCATGGTAGGTTCTCTAGGAATTTTCTCATCTCATAATTGCAGGAAATGCTGTGTGTATTAGTGGCTTTAGGCATAGTATGTACTAGCTCTATCTAGAAATCCAACCTTATGTTTGTAACTCATCTTGTATGTATGTATTTTTACCTTAAACATTATCTTGTCTGTGTTAACGTGTACCTAAAAGTACAGTGTAGTATGCATTGTGGTCACAATAGATCAAATATACATGGATGGTGAAGATGGAAAAAGGTCATGTATATGTAGGTAGGGATTATGATAGGGGGGAGGAGATTATTGATCTGATTAGCTCAATGTCCTGTACTTAATTTGTATAAAAGGTGTCATTACATTTGTATTAATTTAAAATTTGATTTTATTTGTTATTAGCTTATTGGTACCAAAATATTATGAATCTATTACAGATATGTTGATGATAACAAGATTCGCTTCATCGATGTGCTCCGAGAGGCTGTTGCCATAAAATCGGTGTCGGCCTGGCCAGATGTGCGGGGCGAGATAAACAAGCAGATGGAATGGGCGAAATCAAAGTTAGAGGCTCTCGGTGCCAAGTGTGAGCTACATGATGTTGGCCTCCAGGTGCATCTCTTGAACAAAGTGTTCTTCCAAGAAAGACCCCCTCAGTAGCTTGCCGAGTTTAGCTATGATAACTGGCCAGCCTGAGCTACACACGAGGCCTCGGACTCGTCCATTGCCAGATGGAAGCCAAGATCAGAATCTTGCTAACTCAAAGGCAATGAAAGCTGGTGGATCAGAGATCCACCTAAAAACTGAGAACAAACTCGCCAGGAAACTTAGATACAACAAAATGAGCGACTTCTTAAACAAATTAGGCATCCTAAGGGAAGCAAGGCAAACTATTTTTTTCTGTGGGTAAATATCCTAACTGTAATGTGCCTGACTGTTGCCAGATGGCAGCCCAGGTTACATGAGGTCCCAGCCAGCCTTCCACCTTACTTTTCTGCATGGTTCTGTTCACTACACCTGCTTCCGTGGGCATCTGTTGACTGCTTCTTGTTGTAGTTAAGTGGTGTTAGCTTTACCTGGAATAGTAGTTCTTCTGATGACCTTTGTATTGTTCAATTTCATGCTTCATAATTGTATTTACAGTTTTCCGCCTGCATTGCACATGCCCTAGCATTTCATTTCATTCTGATAAGGGAGCCAGGATTATCTTTTATAAGGTCTGTTTGCATTTCCCAAAACCCTATCAAGTACACCTAATCTGATGGGCTGTGGGTTTCCTCTTTTATGGGTTGAGAACGTTCTCTAGGTGGTGCATGCTACTGCCTGCCTATCATGCTCAGTCTTCTTTCTATTACCTTGCATTTAACTGTGGCATGCTTTCATCACATGTAAGATTTTTTGTAACATATTGGCACACTCCACTCGCTCCCTTAATTTTTTCGGTCAGGGTTCATAACTTGTTTCTCTGGCTGGAGTTTTTTTTTATTTCCTCCTCCCAGACCATGTGGCTCCGTCAGTAAAGTCAAGGGAGTCTGGCGGATCAAGGATCTTCTTATCTTGAGGTTATCTCGAGATGATTTCGGGGCTTTTTTAGTGTCCCCGCGGCCCGGTCCTCGACCAGGCCTCCACCCCCAGGAAGCAGCCCGTGATAGCTGACTAACACCCAGGTACCTATTTTACTGCTAGGTAATAGGGGCATAGAGTGAAAGAAACTCTGCCCATTGTTTCTCGCTGGCGCCTGGGATCGAACCCAGTTTTACTGGATTACTAGAGTTCCCAAGAGAAAAGATACCACAAAGGTAGAGTATACCAAAACATTGGTAATGCTGTCTCTAGCCATGTCAGCTGGTCGACAGTCTTGGGATGCCACCCCTCTCATTCTCTCACCTGGTGCCCTGCTGACGAGATTCATGCCTTCAACTGGACCCAAGCTCTGCTTGCAGAGATAAGTTTTGGTCATCATTTGAACTTTATCCAGCATCCAGACCTTAGTTTGTGTTCCTTGTTCTTACACTGTGTGTGTGTTCGGTACTCTCCTTTGTAATTACCCAAGTGTAGTTACAGGATGAGAGCTCATGGTGTCTCGTCTTTTTTTTTTATTTAAATTTTAAACTATTTATGTAGTTTATAATTAATATTATTATAAACTATAAACATGGTATGTATATATATTTTTAAAGTACAGGTATATGTATTCATATTTATAACTTGTTAGATAAGTATAGTCACAAAAGTTAACTAAGCTATAGTCAAAATAGTAGTCTATATCCTAGTTACAATTAATAATTCATGAATGACTCGGTTACTCAATTCAATCAAGTGTAATTCAGTTATGCAAAATGGCGTTATATATTTAACACGGTAGGTTGTAAGTAGATATAATTATAACTATAATAAGCTAGGGTTATAAGCAGTTTATAACTTAGTTAACTTATTTGTAGTAAATTAGTTACAGTAGTTGACAAAGTTATAGTTAACCATAGCTATAAATGTAACTACAGATATTAGTAAACTAGAGGCAAAGACCAAAATGAATAAGAGAGTAGCTAGGGATTAAGATTCGCTGTGAACGACGCACGAATCTCTGAAATGTTGACCAGGTGACGGCTCTTTTAGTGTTACATTTGTATCCTTTCTTGCACCAGTATGAGATGGCTCTGCAGTTGTTCTGGTTTTTATTCTCGCCATTTTTTCCCGTCTCTATGCCAGTGGTCATGTCCTTTCTGTGTTGATTTGCAGAGTGCAGTCTTGTGCCCAATTCTGCTGCTTCCTGTTCAGTGTTGTAATAACCTCACTCGCTTTTGGGATAGGTATTACTTTTTTGTCTCGCCATTCCTTAAGTTATCCAGAGCACTTTTTTTTTTAAATTCTGGTCTGTCCCTCATTTTGTCCTGTTATTGTCATGTTTTCCTTGGCTGAGAATTTTTTTTTTTTCAAGATAATTAGCTTGTTGGCTCAAACTTCTGGCAGTTGTTTACAAACTTTACGCTCTGTTTTTTCGTATCTTGCCTAGTAGCTTGGCATCGTCAGCAAACATATTCATGTAATTCTTTATTCTGTTTGGTTGATTATTTATTAAGACAATGAACATTACTAGAATTAAAATTAAAACATTGCTAGAAATGAAGCCTATGGCACTCCGCTAATAACATTTCTCCTGTCTGGTATATTGCCTCTGATTACTGCCCTCATTTTTTAACACTTTGGAACTGTTAATTTAGTATTTCACACATTTCCTTTTTATTCTTTGAGAATCTGTTCTCTATTTTTTAACTCTGAATATATCCTTTACCTGCAATTTACTCTTACTGAATTTGTAGAAAAGGCCTGATTCTGTTTTACACTTTATTCACAACTCTCTCAGTTTCTTTCTGCTTCTTTTCTCACTGCCATGTAGTTGTTTTTCTTGTGTATTGCTGATATGTTTCAGGGTTTGGTCTCTTCTTATACTGGTTCAATTTTTTTTCTTTTTTGCCTTTTATTTTTTGGCTCTAACACTTTGTTGAATCAATCCTGTTTTCAAGTTCTGCATCTCTTTCTAGGTATAAATTTATTTTGTACTTTTCTCAGTATATATACCTCAATGTGGCATACATCTAATTTATTTTTGCCTAGCAACAAATCTTTCCAATCAGAGTCCTTAAAGAATGTGTCAAGTTCCCTATATATGTTCCTCTGTTGAAATTTAGTTTTCAATCATTTTGTTTTCCTTATTTTCTAGATTATAATGCATTTCATATACTGTACTGTGTTACTGTATTTCCATCTGAGACTACTGAAGTCCCACCCAGATATCAAGCATTGAATGTAATGAAAGACACTTTTCTGGGTGGCCTCAGTGACTATGTGCACAACTTTCTTTGCCCTACTTTCTTGTGGAGAAGAGGGGCAGTGTGGGGGACTTGTGAAAGGCATGCAGGCAGATTGAACCTTTTGGGTGACTTGAGCTGTCATCTGGTGGTACACGTGGATAACAGTACATGATTTGTTGACATTTGGCAAACTACCACTTCTCTCATTTCCATCTTTTCTCTTTCCTCAAGATTTGTAGCATTTTGTTTTGCCTTTACTTCCTGTGTAGTTTTACTTAGTTATGAGGTCGATGTTAGATCTTCATGCTTCAATTGCTTCCGAGTATACCAGATTCTGATCCTGGGGTTCAGTAAGCATGAACAAGTCAGAGGCCCAGTAGTGTTCAGGATGTCTAATACCAAAGTAGGGGGGGAGCTACTAAGGCTGCCCAGTAAAGGGCTTGAATATTTGGGCACGACATTGTATGCTGATTATATTTGAAAAATGGATCTAAATGGAATAAGGAGTATTCTAACTTTATATAATTTTATTGAAATGGTTATCTTTCAGACCCTTCCAGATGGGAAAAAGATTCCATTACCACCGGTGTTACTGGGCCAACTGGGCTCTGATCCTAAGAAGAAAATGTTGTGTGTGTATGGCCATCTTGATGTACAGCCAGCATTGAAGGTATAACATGAATTGAGTAATTTATTATTAATGCATTTTTTGTAATAAGGAATGGCACCATGAGAACAATGATGCCACCAAGAACAGTATAATGAGAACATGATGGGAGACTACATTTGGGGGATGATTCATGAGGGTAATTTACAGTATAATCTCAAAAACTTCTAATAGTAAATCTCAATATCTTTAATGGGAGATGATTCACAATAGATAGTGGGAGTAATGTAATTGTTTTTGCTTATCATGTTCATAGGCGTGCTATCTTGAGTGGCGTGATATTGGACTTGTTTTTTTACACTACTCGAGAGACTTGAACTGATCAAGGTCTTCTTGTGATTAAACATATCATTGTTTAATCACAAGAAGACTGTCCAGAATTGCTATCGTTTCAAATTAATAGAGACCCTTTAAGTTAAATATGAATAAGTGGATGAAATGTGTGGTACTGAAATGCTTTTTTATTAAAATCATATTTAATCAAAATCATTTTTATCATAGTTAAAAAAACTTGTATTAACACTTCCGCTCAATAAAGACGTCGTTTATTGCGTCGTTTTTTTACTCGGGGGGGGGGGGGGTTAGTCCGGTAACGACGCAGTATTGCGCCGTTTCCGGCGGCAAATTGACGGCAGCTTTGGGAGGGGGCGCGCTGCAGTTTTGGACATAATATACATATACATCTGTAGGGAATTTCATTGCAAATACATTGATACCAAAATGAAAGACATAAGACCAGAATTGAGGTAACAAAGTTGAAAAGAGTATACCCATTTTATTGCTATTTATTAGTGCTCACTGCGGTAACGCACCGTCACGTTCTCTGTTTGCTGTGGGTGGGACGCCGGGCTTTTGGACTTTATATTTGCATATACTCCTGTAGGGAATTCTATTGCGAACACAATGGTACTAAAATGAAAGACCTAGGACGAGAATTGGGGTAACAAAGTGATAAGAGTGTACACATTTTATCGGTCTTGTGCGTTTCCGGGTAACACGCTCTCACTTTCTCTGTTTGTTGTGGATGGTACACCTGGCGTTTGGACTTTATACGCCTTTAGTCCTATAGAGAATTCTTTTGCAAACACATTGATACCAAAATGAAAGACCTAGGACGAGAATTGAGGTGACCAAAGTGAAAGGAGTGAACGCATTTTATCAGTCTTGCATGCTCCCGGGTAACACGTTCTCACTTTCTCTGTTTGTTGCGGATGGTACGCTGGGCATTTGGACTTAATATGTCTTTAGTCTTGTAGAGAATTCTATTGCGAACACAATGATACCAAATCGAAAAACCTAGGACAAGAATTGAGGTAACAAAGTTGAAAAGATTATACATTTTTCAGAATTGCCGCGTGCTCCCGCGGAATGCCCAAACCCACCCGGAGTAGTGTGGTGCATGCGCTCCCAGAGCATCAAAGTGTTAATGTTAATGAAGATTTTTAGGGAAAGTTGAATTTTGATAAGTTTCCAAGAAATCTCCTGGCATACAAAAAAACTTGTTTAAGTTCTAGATACTCAACTTTGATCTTCTTGAATCCTTGTTCATAAACCCATGGAACTGCCTACTTGCCGATGCCATAAATGTCAATACGTTACTACAGTTGGAAAAAAAATCGTCATGAACAATGGGGGTGGGGGGGGGATCTTTGACAAGCGGTTGGCTTCCTGTCAAAGCCACTAAAAATGGTGGCCCCCTCAGGTAAATTCAGATAAACTGGCATAGAGGGACAGGTATACCCTCTTCTGTTAGCTGCAGCTAAGACATCTGGTATTCTTTTTATTTTCCGTTTGCTAGTCAAACATTATGGTGTGTGTGCATGCAACTTAGCCTTTGTTGTGGTCTATTTATATAATGCATTATAATTGTGCTTTTTTTTTCTTTAGGAGGATGGTTGGGACACGGAGCCTTTTGTCTTGACAGAGATAGATGGCAAATTGTATGGTCGTGGCTCAACCGATGACAAGGGTCCAGTTATTGGCTGGATACATGCGATTGAAGCATTCCAGAAAACTGGCCAGGAGATTCCTATCAATATTAAGGTGAAATTCATGAGTTGGTAAATATTTTAGGTGTATAATACAAAATAAATAAGAGGAATACTTGAAAGTTTGTGAGAGTACATGCTTGTGTTGTGTAAGATACAATAATATTGTGAAAGGTTGATAGTTCCTCATAAGGGTCATAAGAATAGAGGAACTCCAGAAGGCCTATTGGCCCATGTAAGGCTGCTCTCATTTACTGTATGTTTCATCAAACTAACTCGTATATATATGTAACCTACAGGTGAAACAATCCAGTAATCCTACATTTGTTATGGAACTGTAATCTAGTCCACGTATCATCAAAACTATTTTCTAACTATTCTTTACAAAGGTCTGTCCTTGAATGTGATTTAATTATTATCCATTGTTTTGTGTTCCAATTTCCACTTCAAACTTTACCCTTGTAGCGATGAAGGGGCTCATGTACGACTCCTTGGTGGGGGGGGGGGATTGACTCGACCCCCTCTCCAGCCCTTCTCCTCATGCTGTATGTTATTACCTAAGTGTAGTTACAGGAAGAGCTATGCTCATGGTGTTCCATCTTCCCAGTACTGTCATGCAACGCTTTAACACTACTGACAGTTTTGGCCTCCACTGTCTTCTCGCCTAACTTGTTCCAACTGTTTTATCATTTAGTTTACAAAAATGAACTTTCTTAGGTTTTCTGGCAGCTTTGTTGCCTTAGTTTGAATCTGTCCTCTTGTTCTTGAAGTTGCCGTTTTCAAAAATTCTTCTCACTTTTGTCAGTTCCTGTTACCATTTTGTATGTAGTGATCATATTGCCTCCCTTTCTTCTATCCTCTAGCTTTGGTATATTTAACACATGTAGCCTCTCCTCAAAGCTCTTGTTTTTCAGTTCTGGGAGCCATTATTATGTTACACCAGTTGATGGTGGTTTCATTATAACATCAGATATTACATTTGAGGAAAAGACTTATTTTGAATTTTCTCTCGACAGTTTGTGTTTGAAGGTATGGAGGAGTCAGGTTCCGAGGGTCTGGAAGAACTTCTCAAGGCACAGAAGGACAAGTTCTTGGCTGGGACTGACTATGTGTGCATTTCTGACAATTACTGGTTGGGGAAGACCAAGCCATGCATCACCTATGGTTTACGTGGTATCTGCTACTTCTGCATTGAGGTAAGATTCTTCTTTAGATCAAGTGGAATTAGAATTAGCCTTAATATAATTAAAGATATACTGTATAACAATTTCTTTATACCTTGTAGAATGTGATTTACAATACAATAATAGATTGTAGCTTTCGAGGAATTGAATAAAATGAACATTACACAAGTTTGCTCTAACCCTTAGGCAGCGGACATCGTCAGTTTTTTATTCACAGGCTTATGTGGTTATCATGATGAAGATTTCAACAATTATTGTGTGGGTTTTTACATGTATGATGCAAATATGACTATAATAGGTTTTATGTGGACGTAATGGAGTTGACCTTGAACCATGGAAAAAATCCCGTGGGCATTTCATGGTACGAATGCGGTTATCGTCATGAGTGTTACTAGGGGAATGCAGTCATTGTCATCTGATGATTTAAACAATTATTGTCTGGGTTTTACATGTATGATCAAATATTAATGTAATATTTCTCTGGATGTAAATAAAGAAAAACAATGATAAAACATTCAGTGAAACATCAGATGATAAAACAGGAAGTATCAGCAAATTCGAGCACCAGGTGATGACAAGTGCCATATGCAGCATTGCAGAATGCCGCCACACATTGAAACAATAAGTATTCACTTATTTTCACATTTTTCTTGCATTTTGTATACAATCTTGAGGTCATCTCGAGATGATTTCGGGGCTTTTTAGTGTCCCCGCGGCCCGGTCCTAGACCAGACCTCCACCCCCAGGAAGCAGCCCGTGACAGCTGACTAACACCAAGGTACCTATTTTACTGCTAGGTAACAGGGGCATAGGGTGAAAGAAACTCTGCCCATTGTTTCTCGCCGGCGCCCGGGATCGAACCCGGGACCACAGGATCACAGTCCAGCGTGCTGTCCGCTCGGCCGACCGGCTCCCACATATTAATAATTCTTTATTTTTTATTTATTTTTTGTGTAGGCAGGTACGATTACATGTCCATAGCTGCTCTCTAAGGGTTAAGAATGATAAAGTATGATTACATAAGAATGCATTTGCAGGTTGAGTGCTGTGCCAAGGACCTGCATTCAGGTGTGTTTGGAGGGACTGTGCACGAGGGCATGGCAGATCTTGTCTATTTGTTGAACACACTCTTGGATAACAAAGGCAACATTCTAATTCCTGGTAAGACTGAAAACAAATGTATACACAATTCACACAAATATCCTCACACACAAACCTGTATAAATACTGATAAAGATATGAGCTGAAGTTCAATTTCCACCAGCACATACACTGCATGAGAGCACAGAATACACTTGCACGTGTGTACACATGTGCAAGGGAAAGTGTGTAACCATCAGTAGTATCCTGACATACTAATCAATAGTGTAATTTAAGCAATATTATGCTTCATGTAAGTAAAAGGGCTGATTAAAAAAAATTTACCTCATTTCAAGTTGACTTTAAACATGACTAAGGTACTTGGATGCAGTAGTGAGAGACAAATGTTATCAGTTTCATCACAAATTGGCCGAGATATTATGTAGAATGTAAAGATTAGAAGGAAATCGGGCGAGTCAGGAGGAAGGTATGAGAGGCGAATTAGTACACACAAAGTATGGGATGAATTAGCACTTTTAGGATATCATAGTTTTGAAGACAGTTTCAAATGGCTGAGCTGACATTGCTAATGCTGTGTGAACTACAACATTTTTTAAATGTATCGAGTAAATATGAGAACTTAATGAATGTACAGTAAACCTAAAATTCAAGGGTTTTGCTGAGGGTTTCGAACAAAAATTTGACAAAGCTACACGAGAAAAACATCGTCAAATGGCCTTCTTTTGTGGCGAAGAATGCATCGGCAGACTTCTGGAAGGATCCCTTGGTGTTTGGTATTCGGTGCTTGGTTCGGTCAAGAGTACATCATTTATGTGGTGGCAAACCTTTGACAATACCTGCATGCCACTAGTTTTGCTTTGGTGGACTTTGTTGGTTGACTCCCATTTATTTGGTTCCCTGTTCTAAGGCTCGCCCTGCTATTGTTGTTTGCAGTCGTTAATTGAAGCCAGCCTGTGTTCTACCCTCGGAACCCATGGTGTTTGCAAATTTGTGGCTTTGGTCGCCATCTTTTCTAACGTGTCTTAGGCTGGTATTTGGGTTAAGGGGTTTTGACATTTTAACAGGGTTCAGTATTTAGTTAGTGCTCCTAATCCCAGTTGATCATGTTACTATGGATTGTGCCTTCCGGCCAGGTTTCTCGCATTTTTCCTCGTGTCTGCTGCCTATCCTACCTAGTAAGCCCTGTTTTGTTCCCTGCTGCTAGTTAGCTTCAGGGAGCCACCGGGAGGACTTCCTCCAGACACCAAGCGGTGAATGTAATAAAATGCCACCTGGATGAGCTCCATGGCTCCCCGATTCTCTGCCCCCTTCCCTCCAAGTTTGTCATGGTCTGTTCATTGGCTACAGAACTGAGCTGGAAAGTCAACTGAGGACTTGGGCTGGGCTGCCTGGTGGTGATAATCAGTACTAACAAGTTTCAAGTTAATTTGAGTGAATACCTTGTTGTGCGAATCATTTGCAGAGTTGTTCGCCAGTTTCAAAGCTTTGTTTTTACCTGAGCGCGAGTCCTCTTAAAGTAAACGCTCGGGACCCTGGGAAACCCCTGGGGGCGCGCGGGTCCGATGGATGTGACCCCAGAGCCCCCCCCCCCCCCTCGCTTCCAGCGAGTTTGAGGGTTGCTCTCACCTTTTGTCTCTGGGTGACTCTCTGTTTTGCCTCCGTCTGCTGCCTGTGGGGTCGGTGACACCTTCGACCCGGTGTCCTGCGAGTTTGGTTGCTCGTTGTGGCTCGGTTACCCAGTTGTGCTAACAAAGCGGGTGCGGGCAGCAGGGGCGTTGCACTTGAGCCTTGGTGGTGGCAACGTTCTCGTGGTTTCCTCCCCGGGAGCCCCGGGGCTGCCCCGTTGTATTTCGTTTTCCCCTGGTTCACCCTTCCTGCCTGCATCCGGTTCCTTACCGTCTGTAGGTTCAGGGCGGGGTGTTTGGTGGTGTTGAGACTCGGGCAGTCTCGGGGAATTCCCCTTCCGGGGTAGTGACGGGGGCATTTGGGCCTGTTCCTCCAGCCGTGTTGTATGAGTCTGCCAGTGGGCTCCCTTCCTTAGTGTTTTCACGGCTGCCCCGGTTTTCTGGTACGGCCGGGGCTTTGGGGGAACGGCTCGGCCCCGGGGCCTGTCGTGTAGGTTCCCGGGGCTGGGGAGGGGCTGACTTGGGGGGCCTTGGCCCCGTTAGACCCCGTGGGGGGTTTTATCCCCCTCTAGGCGGGGCTTGTGGTTACGCGGAGTGGGGTTTTTCCTCCCCACTCGCCGTACGTGCTGTTGGACGTCGGCCCCTCCCCGGGCTCGGTTCCTTGGCCTTTGAGTCGGTTGGTTCCGTCCTGTGGGTGGATGTTTCCTCCCCCGCTTTTTGGGACGGTGTTTTTGTCATGTTTCCCCGTTCGATGGGGTTCTGCGTGACTTTTGATCTCGGGTGCGCCTGCGCCTTCGTGTGCCTTCGGGACTAGTGTTGGCTTCTGTGTTCTCGAGGGTACGGGAAGGTTTTTCGCTACTTCCCGCATTATTGGAACGTCTGTCGGCTCCTAGTACTTGTCGCCCTGTTGGGCTACTTGTCGCCCTGTTGGGCTACTTGTCGCCCTGTTGGGCTACTTGTCGCCCTGTTGGGCTACTTGTCGCCCGGTTGGGCTACTTGTCGCCCGGTTGGGCTACTTGTCGGCCGTTTGGGCTACTTGTCGCCCGTTTGGGCTACTTGTCGCCCGTTTGGGTTCCCTTTTTTTGGGCTCTTTGCTTCTTTGGCCGGTTTTCTTGTTCCTGCTTCCTCTTTTGGCTCTTTTTCTCGTGCAATAGTCCTGGCTGGCGCCTTCCCGCAGGGAGGGTGTGCGGTTCGGCCAGCGTGTTATGCGCATGCGCCGTGGAGTTTGTTTTGGTCTGGGCGATGGTTCAGTGCTGGGGTTTTGCGCCCTTTTTTGCTACAGTGCTTCGCCTCTCGTTCTTCTCCCTGGCTGCGGTATGTGCCCCTTTGCGCCAGGGGTGTCCTGGTTCCCAGTTGTGGGGAGGACACCGCGGTTTTCTGTGTCATGGGTGTGGACCGCCTCCTTCGCCTCTCCCTGTTCTCCTGCGGGTCCGGCTCTGGCGTCTTCACCTGGCGGTGCTCCCAAGTTCTTCTGGGCACGGTTGAGTCGTGTCAAGTTCGAGCCACCATTCGCCAGGTGAGTTTCTGCGGTCTGGCGTCTTTTGGCCGGGCGCTGGATGCGGCGGTGTTCATATACCTGTCTTTATTTAGGTATAATTTGTACGACTGAGACCGTTCGCACACCAGTGACTGTCCCTTTATCACCCCTTCCTGTCCCCCTCCTGTGCATGTCCAACCCATGCTACAGTCGTTCAGGGGACCCTCCTTTTTTAATGTTGTGAGGTGTGGGGGTTGTAGGGTTGGTTCTGTACTCACCTGGTGAGGCTCCTGGCTGTGCTTGCAGGATTTGAGCTCTGGCTCTTGGGTCCCGCCTATCTGGTAGAACTTGCGGGATAGTACCAGTGGAGTGCAGTGGTGCTATTGGCACTTTTGGGGAACACTGTATTACCATCAGTGGTCTGTGCTTGTTACACGACCTACTTGCGAGCATAAGCCTTCTTGCTGGTTCGTCCGTGGACTTCCAGGGCGCACTGGCCTGTTTTCGTATGGCAGTTCCGGCCCGTCCTGGTTGTGGGGGTATGTGGGCCGGTGGACTGCTCCTAGCAGCTGCCTGGTGGGCCATCCTCTGGCCGGTCTGGCCTGACCTTGGGCCGGGCTTGAGGTGTACAAGAGCTCCCAGTACCTCATCCAGCAGGTATCGAGCGGGGTTTCTCCGCCGTCGGTCGCCTGGTGCAGGTTTCTGGGCCTGCAGGGTTTTGTCGTGTCTCCGTTGGCCCTGTCTGGGGTCTGCCTGCTCCGTTCTCTGCCTTTGCAGAGGGGAGTTGCTATTTACATGTTGCATGTTGCAGTGGTGCCTGTTGCTGCTGCTGCTGCACGTGAGCATTGGTACCGTGTTTCACGGTGGCGTGTCCTTGTTCCTGTGTCCGGTTGTGGAGTGGCGCTTTGCTGCCGTTTTGTGCCTGGGGATTGCGTGGGGTTTTTGTCCCTGCCTGATTGTCCACCCCTGGTTGTTCTCCTGGTTTTTTTTTTTTTTTGTGCTTCTGCTCTTTCTTCCTGCCTCTTCTGCAGCAGGAATGTTCTGCGTGTGTTCTTAGGCGTTGGTCAGCCTGTGTCCTGTGATGTGCTTCTTTGTTTCGGTCTGTTGCAGTTGTTCGGGCCCCTTGGTTCGGGTCCTGTTCTGGCGGCGACCCTTCCGCCTTCTTTGGTTTTCCTAGCTTGCCCTGCCGGTTGTTGTTGTTTTATTTTTTTTGGGGGGGTTCTTGCGATGTCTCGCGTCGGACCCGTCGTTTCTGAACTCCTGGCGGGCTTGCATGCTTCGGAGTTTTTCTGTTCGGCAGACGTTCCATCTCCTTGTGCCGCCTGGGTTTCGGTGGTCGCGCCCGAGATCTTCTCGCGGCTCCGCCTTTTTCCTGGGCTCGGGGGGGCCTTGTCGGGGCTGCTTATGTTCTGCCTCGTGGTCTCGCCTCCGGTTGGTGGTCGGGTGGCTTCGTGGTAGGTGTCCCACCTGCGTGCTTCTTGGCGGCAGTATGGGGTATTTTGGCGGTCCTTCCTTTTCCTGTCCCTTCTTCGGTGGGTCCTTCTTGTTGGCTTGGTTTACTCTCGGCTTGGTTTTCTAGTGGGGGTTGGGGGCCGTCGTCTTGCCACATACTGTCGCCTCTTTTCGTGCGGCGCAGGCGGAGCCGCTTCAGCTTGCTTTCGGTCTTGGTGTTGCTTCTGCACCGTTAGTCAGCTGTCTTGTGCGTCATTTCACCTCCGGCCTGTTCGTGCGCCGCTTGCACCATCCTGGTCTCTGGTCAGCGTGCTCTGTCTTCTCCTCGGTTGGTAGTGCCCCTTCGGTTCCGGTGTGTTTTTTCGTCGGCTCTTTCCTTTGGGCCTTTGCCTCTGGGGGTCGGTTCGCTGTGTTTTCTTGCTCCTTCGGTTTTAGCGTTTTGGTTGTTTGATGGCAGCAGTCTCCATCTTTTCTGGCGCGGGGTGGGGCTGCTGCATTCTGGAGGGGTCCAGGGTTTGTTGGTGCTTTGTTGGTCGGGCCGGGGGTGTGTCGTTTTTGTGTTCAGTGGCGGCCCTCTGCTGTTGTTTGCGTGCCACGGCGTTTGGGTCCGGAGCGCGTTTTGCGTTGATCCGGTTCTGTTCTTCCCGGTTCGCGGGTGATGGTGTCCCGGGTGGTCAGCCGTGTTCTTGTGGCTAAGCTGCCTGTGTTCTTCCCTCATGCCTGTGGCGTTCGTGGCTTCGCTGCTCTCGCTGCCGTCTGGGCGACGTGGCCTTGCAGTCTTTCGGGCATGGATTTTTGGTGTTCGTGCAGGGGCCTTGCTGCTCGTGGTTCTCGTGTTGTTCCCGGGATTTTCGGGGCTGTGGCGCCTTGGGTTGGCGTTTGCTGCCGGTTGTCTCGCCTCCTTGGGGGTGCGTGGTGTCCGCCTCCCGGTTTTGTCCCTTTGACCTTCCTCTGTGGGTAGTTAGCTCCGGGGAGCCGACGGGGCTCCCCCCAGAAACCCAGCGTTGAATGTAATGAAACGCCATTTTCTGGGTGAGACCCGGAGGCTCCCCGGCAACCCTCCCTCCCTCCGGTCGGCGTTTTTCGCGTGTTTTGACATCCAGCCTCAGAACTGATGGGTGGATAGCCGGCGTGGGAGGTCTGGGGCTCCCCCTTCCCCCTCCCGGGGAGGGGGGAGCTGCGCAGACAGCGGCGCGGTGACGTATGACGTCATACTAGTTTCCGTGTTTTCTGTTGAAGAGTTCTATTCACTAGTTCGGCTTAGGTAGCAATTTTCACCAGAATAGGGGTTTGTTTTGGAATGCTTACCTTTCTGGATGCTTGACCCGGTCGATGGCAGACATAGAATGCTTCCAACCACACGGGGGTTTCTATAGGCCATTGCTCCCCTTGCCTCTCTGAGGGGGCCAGGTTCTGGCTCGTGGTCCCCGGTAGGCCCTAGAACTCCATACACATGACTGATGCCAAAGTCTGACATTAGCATATCAGCCGGTAAAGCTCCGGGGAGCCTCCGGGTCTCACCCAGAAAATGGCGTTTCATTACATTCAACGCTGGGTTTTTTTGTGAACACTCCAGTTGTCTGTAAAGCTCCTGACTTTCTGGAGGCTTCTTCCAGTTGAATAATGGATTGTCACTCGTCAGGTTCTGGCTCTGATGTCCAATATGCCAGGGAGAACTTCTGCATTTGCTGGGACTTTTTTTTTTTTTTTTTTTTTTAATATGTAGCAATAGCATTAGAGAGCCTTTAGAGATATTAAAGCCTCTGTAAAAGCTATTTATATGTAGCATGATAGCTTTAGAGAGCCACTGAAGCTACTTCCAGAAAGAGGCGTTTCATTACATTCGATGCAGAGTTTTTGTGCCACTAACCTCATTGTTATGGTGCCAGAGCTTACACATTAATCAGTTATAAAATAAATTGAACAACCCCATTTTGTTGTCATGACCTTAAACTAGATCACCATCTTACTGTGATAACTGGCTGATGATGATTTATTGGAAATAAATTTGCAATAAGATATTTTAATGCAAATTTATTTATAGGAATCATGGATGAAGTTGCACCAGTAACAGCCGAGGAAAAAAGCCTTTATGATAATATTGAATTTGATGTGGAGGACTACCGAAAAGACATAGGGCACGAGAAACTGATTCACCACGACGACAAAGTAGGTTCCCCTCTGTTTAATGTTAATTATAAGACAGGGAGATGAACTACATTAACATTTAATACAACTTCATTCTTAGTAGGTTACACTTGAGATGCTTTATTCTGTCTTACTATAAGCTTTAAGAAATCCCATCATGCAGTTATTCATTTCTTATTTGGTTTAAACTAGTTTTCCCCACTTAACACTTGTATTTTCCATATACTTTCCAGTCACATGATGTACTTGGCATAGTCTGTTATCAATATTAAGTACTTTTATTTTTTTTAGGTCATTCTCTCACCATAATTATACCCAGTGTGCATGTGCAGAAGAGCTGCTGAACTGGTGGAAGTTTTTAACTGGCTGTTCTACAAAGGTCCCTTCCTTACAAGCACAGTGGTAAAAGGACCAGATCCCTAAGCCCAAACCATCCAATTATCAAGATAGGCCAGACCATGGGGTCCCAAACAAGTGTGTCAACCACACGAGTCGATCTGGTGAATATTATGTTCAGACCAAATGACACTTTGAAACTGCCACAAGTAGATCCCACTCTTGAGCTCCCAACCAGTCCCTACGCTCTGGGTGGATGGGAATGTCCCAATCCTGAAGAACAAGGTTATGAGCCAAGAGCCACATTAAACCACTACGTGAACTTAGAACACAGCCTTCCGAAATGTGCATCAAGGATTATACTTGTTGAGAACGGACATAATTCAAAATGAAGCAGGGCTCCAGTGTCTCATTTGAGAAGAGGGAAGAATCGAGATACCCTCAGCAAGGACAAGGTCACAGCAAGCACACCCTTCACAGGAACAAGTTGCCAGTGATAGTGAAGAGTAAAGGAGTAAGTGACTGAACAGGTCCCTGAAGTACTGGAGGTGGGGAAAATTAAACCCACCAAAGACTAAGAGACCATGCCTGGCAACAAAACTTTGACTCCCCTACTACAGTTACCAATACATAACACACCCTTGGCGAATGCTGAGAACTGCATATACTTGGGCAACTGGCACCCCAGAACCCATTTTCTATCTAAGTGCCCAAAAAGCACAGACATTGAACCATTGTGAAGACGGAGCTGACAACAGCAATCAAATCATGTGGCCGAGCAGCTGAAGAACCTTGCCTGCTGCTGCTAAAACCCTCAAAAGGCAAAATTTGAAATATGCAAAAGTATTTACTACAAATTTAGTAAATTTATTTTACTACACTGAATTCAGGGAGAATGAAATGCCATAATATCTCCTGCAAAACAGAGGATGAAAATAATTTGTGCCAAGTTGGATAATATCATGTGGATCATGCAATATGTGGGCTGGACCACTGCCATTAAGTAATTATTGTAATAGCCAAGAGTTTTGTCAAAATTAAACTTGGCATCATCTTCTGATAATTACTTGGCAAAATGAAATTAGAAATATATACACTTATTGAGCTGCAGTCGTCATCTACAAGAGGAAGTTATCAAGAGCATTGTGATTAAAACACTAGTTAACTTTGGTCACTAGTATTGCAGTGGATTCCCTAAAACATTGTAGTTAGACCAGGACTATGAAAACAAGTTTTGTATAATGATAGGAATAACAATTTTGGTTAATTCTTGAATTGGAACTGAAATTGTTTGATATAAGTGTAACATTAAGAAATGCTTAATGCTAACTAAACATTTTCAGATGGGGACTCTGATGGCAAGGTGGAGAAACCCATCTCTCTCAATTCATGGTATTGAGGGAGCATTCAGCGAACCGGGAGCAAAGACAGTCATTCCCCGCAGGGTCATTGGTAAATTTAGTATCCGCATTGTACCTAACCAGACTCCTGAATCTGTCACCAAGCTGACTGTGGACTACTTAAATAAACAATGGGAAAAACGAGGAAGTCCAAACAATATGAAGGTAAGGTAATATTTTTTTATTTGTATATATATAATTATAGTTCTATTTGGTCTCCAGGTCATGAATACCTTCTGCTTTTCTTTCAGAAATAATTTCCTTTTTTTGCATTTAGAATATTAGCTGCATAGTTTACTTGTTGTCAGTTTTGAGTTTCTGTACTGCAGCCTGGCTCTTGACAGTTTGATCAGTAAGGCTGCAGCTGGCAGTGGCTCACATACCACATAACAATTGTCAAGAACATAATCTGTGGGAAATGTGAAACTCAAACCATTATTGGTTTAACATTCAGGGGAATGAAAGAGTCTTGGAAGATAATTTCAATTATAATTAACCTATCATTTGATGAGCAAATTTGAAGACACGGGTGATAATGGACTTGTTCCTAGACTGGTTCACTTTCAAATGTTTCAAGTTTGATTACAAGAATAACCTGGCTAACAAAGCTCAACTGATCAGTGATCATGCACCTGGCCAGCCAACATATTGAGACTGAGAGTGACTACATGTTCTTCCCATCAAACAGGTCAACAGTCAACAAGTTTTTGCTTAATTATAATATCATGATAACTATTGTGAATATTGGTGCAGCATGGAAGTAATGAGGTAACTGTGCAGATGACGAGTCACAATAACGTGGGTGAAGACATGACCAAACCACATACCAGAAAATGGAGAAACGACAATGTTTTAGTCCGTCCTGGACCGTTATTACACACGACTTGATAATGGTCCGGGACGGACCGAAACGTCCTCATTTCTCTATCTTCTGATGTGTCGTTTGGTTATTGAGGTAACTATGAATGGTGGGGTAGAAACAAATACTGGACAGCATGTTGCAAGGAGTTTAGAGGTTTTGAGCATTGGTAAACATTACTTACGATGTTCAGCTTACTCAACATGCTGGAGTTAATGATGACATTGAAGCTGACCTGGGTTGAATTGTTTGAATTGGGCAGATGAATGCAGAGCATTTATCAAACAAAGCCTCATTTCTTCTGGAACAATAATCAAAAGATGAAAGTAATATTGAAATGGAAGCAGCAAATCGATTATTAATGAAAAAAATAGGAAAAAACATTTAAATTTATTACAATTATAATAATTATAATTATAAAAATAATAATAAACTATTATAATTATTTGCTGCTGCTGTGTAAATGCTGATGGAGGGTGACACAGTGTTGAAAGAAAGCAGTGAATTTAAGAGGGCATGAAAATCACTTGATCTATTAGGAGGAGCTTTATCAGGAGAATAGAGAGTGCCCACTGTATATGTCTTGATTAAGCTTTCAAACTGGGAGAGGAGAAACTACTAGAAAACTGCCAAGAAAGCTATCCAGCAACAGAGTCTACAAGTAGCCCATGGAACATCTAGAGGAGGAGCCCCTCTTTCTCTGTCACATGAAAGGGCAGACAGTCGTGCCTGTGAATAATTCTTGGACTAATATTTATCCCCCCTCACTTAACCTCAGTAAACACTGGCTGCTGCTATATCTGGTAAGTGCAAGTGTGTTGTACTAATACAGTACAATATGTTCTCCCTTTTTAAAGGTATTTTGGACACTTTAATTTTTCTTAGGATTATCTCCACATTATATAATGTATTGTTATGGGGAAATAGTTTAAAATATACATTTTAATGGAACTTCATTTGTATGAGAACATTCCGAGATGTGTATAGAGGGATACAGTATTTCATATGCCAGTAATTGTTTCCTAGGATGTTGCATCACATTACAACTCAAAAGTATTGTGGTTTCACAGTACGTGTTAAATACGTTTCTTATTTCATTACAGAATTTGAACTTAGATTATCCAAATTGGCTAACTGACTGTAGATTCAGGATTTGTAATAGTTAATCATTTCTCTCAAATTGTCGTGTAAATCTGTTGGAAATTTAGATAGGCTTACATGCTTATGGCCTGAAGGTGATTAAGTGTACATTCCAGGCACACCTGTACCATAGTGGCATTCACTGGGTATCAGACCCTAACCATCCTCACATCCAGGCTGGGAAGAGAGCCGTACGACTGACTTATGGGGTGGATCCAGACATGACTCGGGACGGTTGTTCCATACCAATCACCCTCACTATGCAGGTGTGACTATAAATAGTTTTAATGGGTACAGAGAAGTTTATTGAATTGGGACTTTATTGAAAAGCAGGGATATACTGTAGCAAAAGGTAATACACTGCACATGTAAAGATTCCCATTCAATGACTTCCCTGTACTTATAGGTATGCTTAGGGAAATAATTGATAAACTATGGACTTCAGGCCTACAACTACCATGGTGGGCGTTGTTGGATGTCGGATAGTAATCACACTAACTATGAGGCTGGACGGAGGGCCACCAAGTTGGTGTACGGGGTCGACCCAGACATGACGCGCGAGGGAGGGTCCATTCCGGTCACTCTGGTGCTTCAGGTAATGGCTTCTGTTAGTTTGTGGGTTATTGCAGGTAACAGAATTAGATGGCAGTGCTCCGGCTTGGATAGCAGATCCAAATCACGGTAACTTCCAGGCAGGCCGAAGAGCCACTCGCTTAGTATATGGGGTTGAGCCTGATCTCACCAGAGAAGGTGGCTCAATTCCCATCGCAATAACTTTACAGGTAAGTAACAGTAATGTCACCTTCAGTTTTGTTTATAGTACAGCCATTATTCCTAAACAATTATCTATCACTCTAGAACAGTAGCTCTGCTTGAGAGTGTACAGTATTTTCATAATGCTTTGCAAATTACCTGCAAGAAAAGTATGAATGTTGTGATATCTACTACTACTATCTTCTCCTCCTCCTCTTTACAGTGATTACTGCTTATTTCTGCTTATATCTCTACAGTTATATAAGCAGATAAAGTGCATACACTTTTATTTTTATTGACTTCAAATTTATAGTTATAACCCTGAAAATAAGAAAATGTATAAACATTTTAGGCTTTGCTGAGAGGGACCTTGAAGTGCCAGAGACACTGTTGGTTGGATATGTGCCAGTGGGTTAGAACGTTAGTGTTGATGTGCCTAATTACCACCAGATGGCAGCCCACCTCATTTGCGAGCTTATTGTGGTCAGGGTTTCACCTCTGTTGGAACCCAAGAAGTCCTTTATTTTTTAATTACTATTTCATGATTGTGTTCAGTTTTATCCACATTGTTTGTTCCCTATTGTTAATTTGTTCCAGTTATATGCCAGGGATAACCTCTCTGGTGGCCGACTTACATTTCCCTCGCTCCACAAGCTATTCGTGCTGTTAGGAGTTTGGGTTCCTCCTCCTCAGTCCTCTCGCATTCAGGTAGAATGAAGAATTTTCCATCCACAGCAAGAACTGATAATGATGAGTTGTTGCTGTGTGCTTGAATATAAATAGTACTTAGTCCTGACTCCTGTTCATTTTGCTACTTTGGATTTTTGCTGGGTGTGACCTTGGAATACAGTACAGAACTAAATAAATTCCATATCTATAGCTTGTCTACCTTTTGGATTTGTCATTGGATGCTGTTCCTGGCTTAGGGTGTTTGGTACTCCCATTGGGTGTTTGTGGCTCATTCTTTGACCTGAGTACTTGTGCAGCACTGCTTACGTAGTATTGAATCTGTAGGATCAGAACAGAGACTTTGTGTGGCGTATGCATCTTCACCCAATCAATCTTCCTATTTTCTGCATATTCCTTATGATGAGGTAGCCCTAGGTACTAAGGGGTTTCTCCTAGAAGACCAAGGTAGAATGTAATGAAACTCATCTTTCTGGTGAGTCCCTCTGTATCTACCCATTCCCATGCTGGGGCCCCCCCCCCCTCCTCTTACTGTAGTGTTTAAGAGTTATATGGATGATGTGTGACTGGCTGGGTTGGCGGCCCGGGGCTGCCAACTGGAGACAAGTGCGCGCTACAAGCCAGTGCTTCGGCCAGTTGACGATTATTTAAATAGATCAGATCGGTGTTGCAAATATGATTCGTGTAGTTGTTTGATTTGGTGAACTCTGCCTTTCTGGTGGTCTTAACCCCCCAGGCTCCCCTTTACCTCTGTTGAGTGCACCAAATTCTGGTACTGGTCTCCATGTGGGAACTTGATAACCATTATACTGTACCTGGTGTGGGACTGAAGGTTTGACAGGTATCACAGTGTGTAGCTCGTGGAAGTATCAAAGAACCCTCCAGAAAGAGGCGCTTCATTAAATTCAATGCTTGTTTTAATTGCATAAATATTTAAATCTACAGCATTGTTATTTATTTTACCAACTTGTCAAGAATGTTCAGTATTCTGAATTATTTTAAATGATGTTTTTCAGGAGGTAACTGGCAAGAATGTAATGCTGCTGCCCATGGGAGCTTGTGATGATGGTGCTCACTCGCAGAATGAGAAGATAAACATCCGTAACTACATTGAAGGGGTGAGTATTGCAGTTTATATGGTTTGGACACTGTTGACTCTGCCGGGCTCTTGTTGATTACCTTGGCCCCTCCCCCTTTGTTGTGCTGGAGCAGAGAGCAGTGCCCTTTTTTTCCAGGTTTTGTTAGAGATGTCAAGTGATCTCTTATTTCTTTTTCAGTAGTTGTATTTGCTCTTCCTCATCAATAGATGGGGTTTTTGTGATAGTTTCCTGATTCATGTGCTGCCAAAATCACTTGCTCAGATTCCCCTCTTAATGACATTCTAGTATGCTAACCTCAAAGTTGACACAAATTTTGGTCCCATTCTTAGTCTGGCATTACTATGCTTTAGTGAAGTGTTGCCTTTTACCAGTAATATCTTGAATCAAGCATTTCAAGTCATTTACATGTGTGTCATTTAAATATTGTACATAAAGCTTAACAAAATCCATTCACTTGTGTGATACACAAGGTTCACGCCATTCTCAAATACAGTATTCTTACAATTGCCTTCATCATGTATTTGTATTATAATTTTATACAATTGTACAATCAGAATATATATTTTATTTCAGACCAAACTCCTGGCTGCTTACATAAACGAGGTAGCTAAAGTTTGATCCGTCACCATCACATTCTACTGCAGTTTGTCCAACCAGAAATTTCATTCAAACTTGCATGAATTTTAGCTATTTTAATACAAAAATATTTTTACATAATTTATGGTAAGCAAATGTTGGTTAATTATATCTGACAAAGATGTATTGAGAATTTGTTTTAGTAGCTTTTCAGAAATGTAGGAATACATAGTCTTTTTAATTTGTTTTTAATCTCCCTAAACAAGAAGTAAAATGCTACTCTTGGCTCCTACATGTTTTGTTGCTTGTAAGCATCATTGAAGTCAACAAACTTATGATATAAACTCTGGATAATTGTCAACATTTAGTGTTCAATGATTACTGCATAATAGATAAAGATCATGTAGTAGAGGTGTCTTAAGAGTTTTTCCCTGTTATACCTCAAAGGATTGTAGAAACGTCTAGGAAGACAGAAATGTTCTAAAGTACTCTAATGAGCTGTGATGTTTTTTGTATGTTTTTTTTCTCTGTACCAAGGCAAGTAATCTTGATCGTTATGAGCCGATCTTGCCTGTCACCTTTCTCTTGTAATTTGTTACAAATATGCAAATTTTTACAAACTTGTTTTTGTATACTGTTATATTAATTTTGTTACTGCTTTTTCACTTGATGTTTTGGGAAATAAAATTGTATATATAAATAATAGTTTTATTGTTCATTTAAATAAAATAAAAATAATTGCTCATAATGCTTTAAGGGTAGTAAAAATGAGTGAGAAAAACTCGCTTGTATTTTATTTATTGATATAGCTTGCAGACTATGCAGACTCCTTGTTGTTCAAACTTTGGAGAATGTTGACTATGTATGGCATTAAGTGATATGAAACATCTTAGCAGTTTTTAGCAACACGTGTGAGAGTAACGAGTGACTGGTTTGATATTAATGTAGATGTACATCAGGGTTGTGTGAGGTCATCTCTGGTTATTACATACAGCATGACCCCAATTATCAGAACCAATTGGTATCTGGATAACTGAAAAAGGTGAGTGTTGGTTAGGTCAAGCTGGTTGTGATGGTGCTTCAGCTATTTACTACAACATCGCTAAACTCCTAACTTTAACCAATTATTTTTCTAATTGATTCTTGCATTAGAGCCTGTAGAAAGCTCTAATACTTTATATTCTATAGCAGCCTGTAGAATATAGAAAGATGACATATGTACACAGACTGCAAGTGTTAAGCTGAATAACTGGCTTAGCTGCACTGCAACTTGCCACTAATGCACTAAAGAACAGTGGAGGAGTAAATTTTGGCGATTCAAAATCAACTCTTCAAACATCTATGGCAGGTGGCTGCAGGTAATGAATGCCCCAATGGTGAACATTCCAATTGTAAACTATGTGAACAAGAGCTGGGACATACTCTCTAACACTATATCTGTGATTGCCTTGTTATCAGTGATTTCAGACCAAATGGTATGAGGTACTTTGAGATCTGTAACTACTACATAGTAGGCATCCATCAGTCTCAGGAGACTATATAGAGTTGTGCTGTGGTTGTCGGTCTGGAGTGGCCTTTCCAGGGTGTAAAGCCAGGGTAGGTTGACATGGGGCTTAAGCTATTACCCATACAGCAGGTCCCCCCTCCACGGCATCAAGAGTCTCCAATGGAAAGGCAAACGCCAATACGATTGGTTCCAGTACCGTCACAGGAACTGTCAGAACGAGGTTGTACACAATTCATACACTCAGGAATATTGGAAGATATTCTTGGCCTGTACCCAGATTTTCCTAGTGCAGGCTAATAATGTTTTCATCTACTCAGACCCCAGCCCCCACACTAAATAATATTGTAAATAATAAATTTTAAAAAGTCGCTCGTGGATATAAACCAACAAACTCTCATTAAACATAGAAAAGACTTGCTACATTTTATTTGGAAGTAAATCAAGCCAAATTCAACTTCATATAGACAATGTTAAAATTAACACAAAATTATGAAAAGTTCCTTGGCCTATACATGACTGAACTTGAGCACCCACGTACAACACAGCCAAAAAGTCACAAAAATGGTCAGTATACTTTCTAAAATCAGATACTATTTTTCCCCACTCTGCTCTCCTCTAATTATACTACGTACTACTCTATCCCTATTTTACATATGATATCAGTGCATGGGGTTCAACCACTGCAAACTACCTCAAACCCATCATCACTTGGCAAAAATCTGCTATCAGAATTTCAGAATTATAACAAATTGTCTTCAGACAACACACAGCCCCTCTACATCCCTTAACATGCTAAACATACATACACCAAACATTCTCATGTGCTATTTACATGTACAAAACCTTGTTCCTAAATGTTAATCTTGATCTGACCCTTTTCCTTGATGGATGTAATGGAACCCATGAGCACCACACCAGAAATAAATCTCTTTGATATCCCCAGAATCAGACTTTAATCTATGCAAACACTCCATGCAAATAATAGTGCCCATGGAATCTATGGAATTCACTCCCTAAAGAATTAAAAAATTGTCCAATCTATGCCCCATTGAAAAGCAAAACCAAAAAGTACCTAATTTCATCCTCATAATTTCCTACCTTGTGCTTCAAACTCACTCTTGTGCTACCCACTTATGAGGTTAGGGGGATACGAGGACGTCTTTCTGCAAAGGGACATGACGATGGAGGAGAGAAGGAAGGCTCCAGAAGCAAGGAGAAGATGCAGAGAAAGGGTTGGGGATGTGGGAGCCACAGGACTCGGCTCAGTGTCTCCAGGAACCTCAGAGGGGAGTGAGAATCCCCCCACCAGCAAGTCAGCACCCCCAGGGAGGATTGTAACAGAAGCCTTCCACCAACCAACCCCTCAGCCATCCCCCTCCAATCACCTGCACCTCCCCAGACAGTAAAGTCCCTCTTCAGACCATGCCCCCCATGTTCTCTAACCCTCAGATCCCCCCCCCCATGCCCTTTCTTCCCCAACCCCTACCCCAGATCCTCACTGTTCCTGCACCCCATGCCCTTCCCTGTTTCTCCAGCCTGTGCCCTTCCCAGTTTCCCTACCCCAAGCTCTTCTCCCTACCCCATCTCCCTCCCCAACCCCTGACCTCCCTGTCAACCAACCCCAGTATACCCTGCATACCCCAACCCATGACCTCCCACCACATGCCCCTCCAGCTCCCCCATCCCATGCCCCAACTAACCCCCAACCCCATTTCACGTCAACCCCAACTTAGCCACATCACGTCAGACCCCCCCCCCTAGCCCCCCCTGTACCAGATCCTCCCAGCCCCCTCACACCCTGTGGAGTGAGGGGGCTGGAGGCCGAAACATGGAGTTTCGAGATGGTTATTACGGGCGAAGGGTTCAGAGACTTCATCACAGGCACCATGACAATGGGAGGACCAAGAGTAGTAGTAGCAGTGATATATAACCCTCCACCAAATAAAAGAAGACCCAGGCAAGAGTATGACAGAAACAACATGGCAGTTAACATTATCATTGAGAGAGCAGCTGCTGCTGCCTTTAGAAATCGATCCCATCTTCTCATAATGGGGGACTTTAATCATGGAAGGATAGACTGGGAAAACAGGGAACCACATGGAGGTTGGGAAACATGGAAAGCGAAACTGCTGGAGGTGACAACTAGAAACCTTTTAAGTCAGCATGTCAAGGGTCCCACGAGAATGAGAGGCAATGATGAACCAGCAAGACTCGACCTAGTATTCACTCTGAACAATTCAGACATAAAGGAAATCAGTCTTGAAGCCCCCGTGGGTATGAGTGATCATAGTATACTGTTGTTTGAGTGTGGTCGAAGAAGGGTTAATGTACTCAAGGAAGGGACCAGAAAGCAAGAGGACGGCATTCCAGAAGGGAAACTATGAGATGAGAAAATTCCTAACTGAAATAGCTTGGGAAACAGAGCTCAGCGGAAAGACGGTTCAAAACATGGACTACAATACAACAATACAACAATACAATTTTATTTAGGTAAGGTACATACATACAATAAATATTTACAAGGATTGTTTAACTTATAGGTATAGCTAGTACATACAATGCCTAAAGCCACTATTACGCAAAGCGTTTCGGGCATTCGGACTACATCACACAGAAGTGTAAGGAGGCAGCAGACAAGTTCGTCCCAGTCCAAAAGGAAAAAAATGAAATGGAGATGAGAAACCCATGGTTTAACCAGAGTTGTAACTAAGTAATAGGGCATGGTGAAACTATAGAAACAACAGAACAGTAGAGAGCAGAGAAAGATACCAGAGCGCCAGGAATGAATATGTCAGGGTGAGTAAAAAGGTAGAGAGGCAATATGAAAATGACATAGGCAAAGACTCAACCTAAACTGCTGCATAGCCACATCAGGAGAAAAATAGATATGATAGAGCCCAATAGGCTCGGAAACCTGTACACCAGTTGATTGACAGTTGAGAGGCGGGACCAAAGAGCCAAAGCTCAACCCCTTAACACTGACAGGTTGATGTTTCCATCTTACCTATTTCAGTTTCCCAGTGGTATGTTGACGGATTTAATTAGGTTGTTTATGGAGGATTAAATGTTGTTGTTGTTGTGTTGATTTAGGGGCGACGACGATCGAGGATTAAATGTACACTGAAGTTAAAACATCCCAGTTTTTAATGGTGCTTTGATAATCAGACCAGTTACAAATAAGATTAAGTATCCCCTCTTAAGTCATAATTTCATAATTGTACTTTTTTAGTTGGAAGATGCATATAATTTGTTTGAAAAACTTCAGCCATATTAATTAGGCTGGTGTTTAGAGTGAGAAGTAAACTGAAGTTGAAGCCAAGTGTGGGGATGGGGACAATTTGCGCAGACACTGGGCGCAGGCAAGTGTTGTTTACAAGTGACGTCACAGAGGCTGCCTCAACAGGTGCAGGACGAGAACACTGGTGAGCCACAACTCTACAACTGCTGCTGCTGCTCACCACTATGTCCTGATCGATACATTCCCACAGTGCCTAACTGGTCTCGGGTCGGCCCTGGCGGAGCATCAACGTCGTGGGTGAACAAGTACAGCTCACAATATAACTTCAGTAAGGAGCTGGAGTGGGTTAATTAACAACTTTAAGACCTGCTTAAGCATGTTTTGGCGTTTATAAACACAAAACTAAACTACTATTAGGTTGATTGGTTCAGTACACGGTGGTATTATCAATGGTCGCTAGTCAACATGCCAAGAATTAAGAATCTAAACACACCAAGAATTAAGAATCTAAACACGGAACTGCATATTAGGCCTGCCACTCTATTACCAAGTATGTCTGAATTATACCTAATTTTAAATTATTTCTATATCTTAGATATTCACTTTATCCTAAGGCCTTCCTGAATTCTTTCTAAATCTCTTTAGTTTTAATTCATTGCTGTGTACAAATGACACATGAAAGTCAGTCTCATAAGAACAAGGTAACTGCAGAAGGCCTATTGGCCCATACGAGGCAGCTCCTATTTATAACCACCCAATCCCACTCTATAAATGTCCAACACACGTTTGAAATAATCGAAGGACCCAGCCTCCATCACCTAACACAGTAATTGGTTCCACAAATCAACAACCCTGTTACTGAACCAGTATTTACCCAAGTCTTTCCTAAATCTAAACTTATCCAATTTATACCCATTGTTTCGTGTTGTCTTGTGTTGATACTTTTAATACCCTATTAATATCCCCCTTGTTAAGTATCCACTTGTAAACCTCTATCATGTTACCCTTAGCTATTGGCCTTTCCAGTGAATGCAATTTAAGCTTTGTTAATCTTTCCTCATATGAAAGATTTCTTATTTGGGGAATTAACTTTGTCATTCTACGCTGGACACGTTCAAGTGAATTTATATCCATTCTATAGTACGGCGACCAAAACTGAACTGCATAATCTAAATGTAGCCTAACCAGAGCAAGATTTAGCTGAAGAACAACACCAGGTGTCTTGTTACTAACGCTTCGATTAATAAATCCCAGTGTCCTATTTACCTTATTACGAACATTCATGCATTGATCTCTTGGTTTTAAATTATTACTAATCATAACTCCCAGATCCCTTACGTAATCCAACTTCGCAATCTCGACACCGTCTAGCTCGTATCTTGTAACTCTTATCATCATTACCTAGCCTCAGAACTTTACATTTATCAGCATTAAACTGCATCTGCCAATCTTTTGACCATTTCAAAACCCTATTTAGATAAACTTATAATGATAGTGAGTCTTCTTCTGTGTTAATTTCCCTACCGATTTTTGTGTTATCGGCAAATTTGCAAATGTTGCTACTCAAACCTGAATCTGAATCATTTATATATATTATAAACAACAGAGGTCCCAAGACAGAGCCTTGAGACACTCCACTTACAACATTTTCCAACTCTGACTTAACCTCATTTATACTAACTCTGTTTCCTTTGGTATAGACATGGCCTAATCCAACTTAAAATAGCACCCCCAATACCATGCGCCTCTATCTTTTTAACCAGTCTTTGATGTGACACTGTATCAAGAGATTTGCTAAGGTCAAGTTGGCAGGATCGAGACTAATAAGAGGTGATGTTGCTGCTGGTTACAATGTGTTTTCTCAAACAACATATGAAAATCATCAAATAAATAATTAAAACAATTTACTGAAATATTAATGAACAAAATTGGCACTTAAAAATACTTGGCTATCATGTAATGCAAAGGTGAACTTGATAATATAACATTAATACAAAAATAAACTGTAAGCAATGAATACAAAGCATAAAGATATACTGGTGTACTGAAGACAGCTACCATACCACCACGGCATCAGACACACGGCGTTGGCTGAAGGCAGATGACGGCTGAGAGAGAGACCAAGGTGTTCCAAGAGCACTAAGGGAGAGACTGGCTCTCCAGGGAGGCAACGCCCTTTATATAGTCTGCCGGTGATGACTCATCCAGTATCAACGCAAGGTGGACATCTGGTCAACTAGCAAACTGCTCGTTTGTGGCTGGCGGTGCCTTTGTGTTGAGCTGCACCACTGCCAGTTGAACGCGGCTAACTGCTTGTTTGTGGGGGCAAACTACCGGTTAGCAGAGGCACCCGGCTTGCCTCTTGAGTCGTACCAGGCCGTGGCAGGCCCTGGGGGGTATGGAGAGGTGGCAGGACTGATGACTCATCTGGGCTGGTGTAGAGGTAGACTTCCAGTGCAGAGGCATTGAAGGTGAAGGGAAAAGGCAGTTCCACTGCTATGCAGGGGATTCACGTGACAAATGGCTTCTTTTAAAGTTGGTTGTCAGGTTCTATAATTAAACTTTTGTATAACAATAAATGTATTTATTTGATCATTTATTGTTTAATACTTGATCATTAATGAACATAATTTAAGCAATTTAAATGTTAAAGAATAGTTTTAACAATTATAACTCGTGATAAATCTTTCTTGATTCTGATACCGATTCTGATTATTTAAAAATGCTAGATTCTTCCGATTCTCTATATCGATTCTGATTAATCATCCCATCACTAGTAGCTACACACTTGAAAATGGTATTAGGCTCCATCGATTCAAGAGTGCTTGCTGGAAACCAGGATCAGAATCTGGCCCCCCCTGATGATGGAAGTCTGATGATCTAGGATTAAAGTACCCAAGAAAATCCTAAAAAATTTGTAAAAAATGGAATCGCTGAACATTGGGAACCTATCACCTATACCTGACATCCCCAGTACTGTATCATAATATATCCCCGTGTCCCCCGTGTACTGGGGATGAATATACCATTCATCCCCAGTACTTTCTCACTGTAGGAGAGCTGCCTAATTGTATGGAAACTATGAGAGGTATTATATAAACCACAATTCAATCACAAATGTGTGATATGTGTCACCATTTAAGTGACCAATATTAGGTTCTCCAGACTGTGTTAATGTGATTCAAAACTCCAAACACCTAAATTTGTGGATAATATTTGTGTAGGTACTACATGTTCTATATCCATTGCAGTGTCATTTTATAGAACAACATATCTTTTAATTCATACTGTAGGTTTTGTAGTAAGCTTACTGTAACTATTTTTAGTTCATCATTTATATTATTAACTTCAGTGTCCAAAAACTGTACTCTTAATATAAATTTTCTTAGAATATAGTACTATAACATTCATTTGAAATGCCAAATGTGTCTCTTTTTGTTATACAGTATTTTAAATCAAAAGCTCATCAACTGAGACAGAAATTTATTTATTCCAGGGTCTTTATAAGGGCTTTGAGTTATCGTTTGTGTATTGCACAAGAATTGGAACAATGTCCAAGTGAGATTTACCTGTGCAAGAGAATGGCCACAGTAAAGCAAGGACTGTTTGTAGTGGTATGGGAGTGGGAGAACAAGCAGGTAAATGCCATCTTTTAACTGTCAATTTTACATTTATATTGCATTTTATAACATAAGCATTTTTTATTTTCTCATTTCCTTTTGAAGCATTTGTTCTTTGTTTTCTGGGCATCCAGAAAGTTAGCAAGCCAATACAGACCATTGCTGGGTTCAAAGAGACTGGAACCTCACAACCCACTAAATGAACTCCCAACAATGTAAACAAACTATCAAATTTCTTAACATAAGCCTGTGCTCATTCACCCCACCCCTTCCTATCTACATGAGCATGACTTAATAATATTTTTCTGTGTTGTATGAATGCAAAGTGCTTTTTCAGCGACGATGGCGACCCTACACCCCAGAAGTCACGCAGCTACTGGAACGTGCTTACTCCAAGAACCTGCGCTCTGTTTTTCTTGGAGATTCAGATCCTGCTCTCAAAAACTATTGTGTTCACCTTCCTGAAATGGAGCAGGAATGTAAAGCTTCAGGTGATGTATTTCATAAGGATTTACTAATGTTATGTTATGTTTATTTTAAGTGGTTACCTGAACTTTCTGGGAGGGAACCCTTACGTGGCTCCTTGGTACTTGCTGCCTGGCAAGCTTCACCCAATTCAATCCCACCACCTAGTAGTGGTGGGATTGTATTGTTTGCAGGAAGAGTTCACCTACAGAGTTTTATTTAGTCCTTATCAAATTCCCAAACATTACCGAAGTGTTTTACGGGTTGAGCCCTGATTCCTGAATGCTTCCTGACTGTGTTAGGGGGTTGGTTGATGTGAAGTGTCACTTGCTCTTGATAATGGCTCCAGAGTGCCAGTGCTTCATGCTAGGGAATTATTGAGGCCATGCTCAGAAAGGGAACTTTCATTATTCTCAGCGGTCTATTTACTGGAGCTGCTACATAGAGTCCAAATTTGGGATTTTAAAGGCGAAATGTTTTGTAGTACAGTATGTTGCAGAATTAGGAAAAAAAATTTTTGTTTAAAGGCACCAGGAAAAATTCTTTTTTTCCTTTTGCGACCGAGATCAACACAATAAATCGATTAACTTAATATAGCTGATACTGTTTGGTGTCTTGGATTGTGTACCTGATGGGCTAATTTACTAAACTGTACATATGTAATGCAGTGTTTTCCTCAGATGTACCATATGATTTAGCCTAAGATCAGGCTGCTATTTGATACTTATGTAGTACGTTGGTGTTTATTAATATGGAGAAGTCCGTAAGATATAGAAAAAATAATACTTTACATTTCATTTCCAGGAGAGACTGTAAAGATACGTCGATTTTTTTATGCCCAGAGTTCTCCAGCGGGCCAGGGAGCTGTGTGGCAATGGGCAGGAGATGTGGCGGGTGACTGGCATGTATATGACATGTGTGTGCAGTGTATCATCGAGGAGTCTTGGGGTTCTGTAAGTTACGTTTATAGTTTTTTTTTTTTTTAATTTTAATTTTGAGCCTTGATTATTATTTAATTGTCATACGACTGTCTTCGGGAAAATAATTGTCTGTCTTCTGACACTGTATCTTTTCATATACATATTATTCTTGCTTTCTTTACTTCACATCTGCTTCAAACATTTTGCTTATTCATTAAGTTGTCACTTCAGCATATGATCCTCTTTTTTGGGAAGAGCCCACCAGTGGCTCCCTGAAGCTAACTTTCTGATATTGCTTCATACTAAATAGTCATATCAGTCACAGAACATCTGTTCGACCTATTGGGGTTCAGAGCCAGAACCTGGCCCTCCTCTCAGAAGTGTAGGGAGCAGATAACAATCTATCACCCCACTAGGAAAAGACTTCAGAAAGTCACTGTGGTTTTTCACTTAAACTAGTTCAAAATTTATTAGTATCAACTACCACTGTCAGCTGACCTGGCCCCAGGCTCCCGGCTGGCTCACAAGTCAGCTCTGTTCATGATGTTGGTGTCTTTACACCTGCCAATAGTGCTTCCAGTCATGCCAGCTTGCAGGTTCGCTGTTCTGCTGCAAGCTAAGTGCCAGCCATCCTTGAACCTGGTCGTCCTCTGGGGGCCATTTGCTTTGTGTGTTGTCCTTCATTTTAGTGAAGCCTTCATGTGCTTATTTTCATTCCAGCTTGTTGACTGGGCTTGGCTCATTTTGCATTTCTTGCTGTGAGTTCTCTTCCCTGTGTGCTCGCTAATGCTGCCCTTGCACAGCCAGAGCTTCCCATCTCTGATGTGTTCGGGAGTTTGACCCTGAGAGGCCTGACCACTGGGGTGGGTAGCTTCATCTTGGGCTATTCAGGAATCAAGAATTCCTCTGTCTGGGCCCCTTGGTTGGGGGCATTCTTTGGATGTGTTGGGATAGACTGAGGTTCATGCACTCGATTACATTTCATACCTTGTGGTTTAGGCTGCAGTTGTCTGCTCTTTTGATGAGCAGCCCTGGTGCCTTGGGTATCTACTTGATTACAATCCATCAGGCCTTAGAAATCCCCTGCGGGTCTCTGTCATGGTCCTTATGGAGCAACCTGTTGAACCCAACCTCTCTGTTTACGAGTTAGAGAGGGTGTTCATCTTTGCTACTTGAAGAGGATTTCTTACCCTGCCATGCAGCCTGTTGAGTCGGTGACACAACCCGAAGTCTTGCGAGGTGTGTTATCACTGAGTCTCCACTTTAATGGATTCCACCTCCCTGTTGGAGGCTTTCCAAGGAGCTGCTTGGACCTCTTTTCTATGATGGCCCTGGCTGTTTTGAGTATGGGTCCATCTCTGCTTATTGGTTACAATTTAAGTTCTCAGACACAATCTTGGTTTGCTGAAAACCCCCTCCTTTCCTTGGGGTTTTGGCAAGGGTTCTGTCAGTCATGCATGCTTGATTGACAGGAAGTGAGCTCCATTTTTCAGTAGTCTGAGTTGGGTCTCATTTGCCCTGCTCCAGTCCTGCCTGTTTGACCCGGCACTTCCCAAGGATGTGGGCAAGTGGCAGCTCCATGTGCAGCTGCCTACACTTTGTGGGACCCATATTGCTGAAAACCACATGGTGCATTCACACCTGGCAGCAGTCTTGCATGTCTGGGGTTTTCTGAGCATCTCTGTGAAGATGTGTCCATTTTGGTGGTTTGTTTTCATTGTTGGGAACTTCTTTTGGCAGTTTTGGGGATGCGGTCTTATTTTTAACCATGCAGTAATCTGTTTTGATTCACTTATCTTTCTGGGTGCCTTCTCTTAGATGGTTGCAAAGATGATAAACTTTAAATGTAGTATTCATAGGTCATCTCTCCCTGCATTTCTCTGAGGATGGGGGGGGGGGCAGGTTTTGGCTTGTGGTCCTCGGTAGGCCAATAGAACTCCATGACTTATGGCACTTAATGACTGTAATAACTTTAGAGCGCCTCCGGGGCTCTCCCAGAAATTGGTCTTTCATTACATTCAACGCTAGTTTTTTGCTAAAATAATGCGGCACCTCCAGGTTGCCTCATTATTTTGACAACTACTGTAAAAGGCAACCAAATAACTCATGCTCAGAAAGATGCTTTTAATGCTTACAGGAAGTACTATTCTTCTCTCATCCATTTCCTTAATAAATCTCTATTTCATATAAGTGAATACAATAAGTTATCTGTTAAAGTTGTTAGAATCCAGAATTGTGAATCTTTTTTTTTATATAGACTGTGTGCCTATGTACCAATAAAGCATTGCAAGGCAATTTTATTTTGTGTATTATAGCAATATTTTTTTTCCAGGGAGCCCAAATAGTAGACTTGAGTCATTCTTTCCGACTGTGCCCCTACGTCATAAATTTCTGCAACCTTACTCAAGTAAGTAATCTTATAGTGGTCTTAACTATTGCACTTCATAACAACTTCTAATGCATATAAATGACAAGTTAGATCTGACCAATTAATTATGAAGGACTCTTTAACATACAAGTAACAGGTATTTGCCTGTTAAAATTTTAGCTCCAAGGAGAGAGAGATTTACCAGGGTGTAAAGTGAATATAGATAGTGTCAGCAGTGGTGTGCGTCGGTGCGGGTGGCATACATGCGTACAGTCGTTCGTAAATCTAAATAAAAAAGTAAAAATAAAATAAAATAAATGTTTATTTAGGTAAGGTACATACATACAAGAGATTTTACAAAGTTTGTTGGATTAATAGATAGAGCTAGTACATACAATGCCTAAAGCCACTATTACACAAAGCGTTTCGGGCAGAGCTAACAAGCCAGGAGCTTTAAAAATTTGTTTGAACAGTCTGCCCATAAACTAATATATTTAAAAAAATGCATAGTTTACACAACAGATTTGTATACAGTTTTTGATATCATGATGTATTTTGTTAAGGTAATTGTATGACTAAGTGAAAAGCAGCTGGGTTAAACCCTGGCACTATCTCATACTAGATGAACTAAAATCTGTTCTTCTCCTGTTCCTGCTTCTCCTCTCAACATTAGGTAATCTTTTCTTTATGTGAAGTATAAGTAGCTGCAGTGTGAGGTGACCTTCTTCCCAATCTTTGGGTAGCTCGGGCTGCTACCTGGAGGCAGTCAAGCTGGTCACATTAGTGGGGAAGTCAGTCATTCAGACATTTGTTTGGTGATTTGATGATTCCCAGCATATCTCTGGGAGGTTGATTGTTTTCAAGTTTACTTGATATTGGGTCAATCTAAGTCACATGAGCTCACTTCTACTTAAAGGGGACAAGACTGCTGTAAATTGTACTTGTCATTGGTGTTGTAAGGTTGTCACCGGGAGCTGGATATATTCAATGTCCTTTGTGTGCCGGTGAGATAAGCTGAGGTGAGCCACTGAGGTGCAGCCCACAAAAGAGCATTTCAATAAACTCGACACTATTTTGATCAGCCATTTAATATCTTTCCGCAGATGAACAGCAGAACCGGTTTTATCCGTTGCATCAGAAGAATCCAACAAGCAGCTTATCCTGTTGGGAGACGACCAGTTACCCCCCAGCAGTCACAACTTGGCCCGGGTACTGTATTTTTTATTTCTCTCTTTGAGAGTCTTCTGTTGTGCTCAGTCCACCCACCACATATTGTTGAATGATAAAGACTCGAACCCCTAAAATGATAATTATTTTAACACCAGCACCATGTTGCCTGACAACTGGATGAGCAGCGCTTCGGATTCGTAGTCCTAAGGTTCCGGGTTTGATCCCCGGTGGAGGCGGAGACAAATGGGCAAAATGTTTCTTTCACCCTGATGCCCCTATTCACTTAGCAGTAATTAGGTACCTGGGAGTTACAGCTGCTACGGGCTGCTTCCTGGAGGGGTGTAACAAAAAGGAGGCCTGGTCGTGGACCGGGCCCCGGGGAAGCTAAGCCCTGAAATCATCTGAAGATAACCTCAAGATGTTGACTATTTTTCAAATTATATAAATTGGTTGAACTTTATACTGTATGATAGGAAAAGCCATTATCATTAATGTTATCATTACTCTGTTTTCTACTTTCATTAGTTTGTGATTCATTAACTCCAATTAAAATGGAGAGCAGATAAGAATAAAGGACATATTAAGAAATTAACTATTAACACTTTTTCGTTTACTATATCTTAAAGTCTGCATACCATCACGGAGACACAAACACCACCGTACTCGAGCAAATCATCCACAGTCGTATCCACCACTTCATAAGATGTACAATGCTCCTCATGAGTTGCCATATGCAAACAAAACACTCCATTTTAAATAAACAGCTTCTACCTACTCTTCTCCATCAAAATCCTATGTGCTCTTCACACACTGTCAATGCTTCCTCACACTCGTTCACTTTGTATACCCCACTTTTCTTCTTGGCTTTCCTCTTTTCTACCTTTAAATTCACTTAAAAACACATTCTTCACAAGTTTCTCATCATTCATTCATATAATGTTTCCAAACTCAGTCTTGCGAGTTAAACTTGAAATTGTTTTTCTGGGTGAGCCCCTTGTGACTCCCTGAAGCTATATGCTGAGATAGTTTCCATCTACAGGTTACATCAGCCGTAGAGTTCTAGAGGTCTACCAGAGCCTTAACCTGGCCATCCCTTCCCAGAGGCCTAAGGAGCAGTGACATTTATTTTCAACTGTTATGTTGTCTCATTCAGGGGAGACCCTATTGTTACAAATAATTAAATTATCACTAATAAGAAGAAAATAACCTAAATATCCTGGTCAAAGAAATACTGGGATAATAGCAAGGGGAGATGGGAGAGGGTATCATGTCATTTACTCATGAGTTTAGGGGAGTACTGATGGGTTTCCAAGATGATCAAATTAAGACCACTGATCCAAGAGACCTCGGACAGTTGCAGGAATAACTAAACATAGGCCGAGTTGATAATTGGCCATGTGTATTTGAGCATTCACAGGTCCTTGTGCACAACAGGACCTAATTGCAAGGAGCATTTCACACTTGGTTGTATGAAATCGTGGTGTACTACTTAGGATGATAAGCTAGCATTGGAGGTGTGTTGAGGTGGCAAAGTCATTTTTCTGTTCTGCTCTCCTATTCTCTCCAGGTTAACTAGGCTGATTATCTCCCCTCCTATGGAAATGGGTAATGAGATACTGATGATTGTTTACTGTTCTTACAGGACATGTGACAGCTGAAAGTAGTAATTCATTCAACAACATAAATAGTGTACTGACGATGCAACCTGTGGCCAGTGTGTCGGGTGCAAAGCCCAGAAGGAGAGGCAGTCGAGGAGATGATGCAGATTCATCCACATCAGATGCGAAGCCACGCACCTTAATGAACATGGTTTGTCACATTTAATGTTTGGGTTTAGCCCCTTTTAGCTCACTGAAGATACCATTTCCAATGTAGGTGCATCAATCATGGAATTGTCTGGCCTACCGGGGACCCAGAGTCAGAACCTGGTTTCCTCACAGAGGCACAGGGAGCCATGGCATTTATATATTAAGCTATTCCTTTATACCATCACTGATGAAGGCACCCAGAAAATCAGCAAGTCAGAACAAATCACAGTTGTCTGCCTCCGAAACTTGCAGACCCGAAAATGGCCATAGGAGTCCTCAAACTATGTAAGCAAATGATAACAAACATCATAAAACTAGCACCAGCTCATTTTCCCCCCACCCTTCCCCCCTCATTTTGGGAGAGGAGGGGGGCAGGCCACAGCTCTTGGGCCACTCCACCGTCAGTTCTCTTCTGATGTTTGCTGGTGATGGGTCTGCACTGGTACTCTAGCCCCAGTGTATTTTTTTTGGGGGGGTGGGGGGCGTTCTTTTGCCTGGGTGGCTGTTACTTGCATGTTTGTGTTCATGGGCTAGGAGTTTAATGCACTAGGAGTTGCATGTGTTCAGGCTTCCCCTCCCTGGGCACTCCCTAGTGGTTCCCCTGTGCTGCCAGGATTTTCTTCCCTGGAGTGTTTGGGTGACGTTTCTTTATGGGTTCACCTCGATTGTGGTGGCCTTGACCTTGGGATAAGTCTGGGGTTTTTACTTTCATCTTTTGTCCGGTTGGAGCAGCTAGGCTGGTGGAGTGTACTGGGTTTCACGCGATCTGCACGTCAGCATTGAATTAAGTCTTCACAGAGGTCCTAGCTAGGCTGGATTAATTTACATAGCACTTTCTGGGGTGAGCCCCTTGTGGCTCCCTGAATCTGCCATCTCCAACGTAGGTGCCATCTACTAGGAGTTGCAGAGTTCTCTGGCCTACTGACCACCCAGTGCCAGAGCCTGGTCTCCTCAAAGAGGTGAGGAAGCTGTGACATTTATATATTAAGTTATTTATTTATGCCACTCCAAGGAAGACACCCAGAAAGTTGAGTCAAAAATAACCACAGCTGGCTGCCTCCAAAACTGCAGGTTCAAAAGTGGCCCTAGAACTCAAAACTATGTAAACAAAATATAAAAAATGTTACAAAACTAGTGCCTGCTCATTCTCGTTTGGGTGGAGGGGGGGGGCAGGCCCGGCTTGCAGGCCGCTCCACTCGTCTTTCAGTTTGATGAATAATGTAAGAACCTATTTCATTATATTCATTGCGTGATTTATGTAAAGTAATTTAAATGTAAACCTTGTGTACTACACACGTCTTTTAACAAACCAAATTTTTTGTAGCTTAATTAAATTTTTCTACCTAGGTGTTTGGACGTAGTAATGGGAACAGCAGCAAGGGAGGTACCGTGAATCAACCACATAATGATGGGGGTGATGGACAGTTGGCAGGTGACCATAAAACAGGGAGAGATGATGCAAGCCCTCCTAAACCTTTGCCTCGTATTTTTCTTCCTCCTAAACCCAAGCCTCGAACCAATCCACCACCAAAACATTCACAGCTTCAGCCCACAATTGATCAGCCTCAATTCTTCAATGAGCAACATTACAGTCAACGACAACAATTAATAGATGACCAGGAAGACCCCAGAATGTTACGGTGAGTACCTTCCACTGTCATTTGCTTTATCAAGATTGAGGATTTTGTCTTCTTAGAGTTTGTACAACTATTCCACGATTCCTAATTTTGTGTGGTCATATATTCCAAGACACTTTGCATAATACCAGACCACATATTATTAAGAATCAGTGCCATTCCTCAGATCAGACTTTTGCTAGTACTGTTAAGTGTTGCTCATTCTTTGGACTGTTCATGTAGTGGCCTTTACTTATGTTTCTTGTTATGATTCACACGTGTTTTTGGTGCCTTGCCTTCTTGTGTGTTCTGATTTGGGGTTCATTACAGCTGCATGGGGTCACGGTTCTCTTTCCTTGTTGTCATTCATGTTACCCTTGTCTTCAACAAGGGTTATCTTCCCTGAGGAGGCTTGAGACACACCTCTCCTGGCTCCTCTGTGAAATTTGAGGTAGAAGGAGGATAGTCCTTCTTGGTTTGAGATTCGATCTTGCTGAGTGAACTGCTAACACAGGGTACTAACAAAATGGGTAGCACAGGATACATGTGAAGCTAAATAAGGAACAATATCACAACTGGAACTATTGTTCTCTGAATGGTTAACATTTCTTATCCTAAAGTTGAAAGATGACAGAGGACCCAGTAGAACCGAGTGTCCCTGGCCCCTCCTGACTTGTGAATGAGGTGGCTTGCTGGCCAAGACCCTGGGTTGTCTGGGCTGCTATCTGATGATAGGCAAGTGCATTTAGGCAGTGATTTTGCTATGGTATGATTGTTTGCTTTGTTATCATCTGGGATATATACACAAAATATCAACCAGTTGATTGTTTTGGAGTGCTTAATTTCTTATTGATGAAATTTTCTTGGTACAGTGGTGAGCTCTTGTCCCAGTCTTCTCTTCGTCTTTTTGAGACGGCTAGATTCAGGTAGGCAATTGTGTGCCATAGTCATTGTATGTTCCCCAAGGCTTGGTTGCTTCCAGGTTGCAGCATTGGGAAGCTACAGTGGGCTCTCTCAGAAGTGCGAAACATGACTCTACATCATGCTAAAATTGCTTCCTTGGTTTAAGTTTTTCTTATAGTACATTCAGTATTAATTTAAATTAAAGCAGTTAATCAGGTCTGATTTCATTATATATTGCTTTGACTGAAAAGTCATAATTTTTCTAGTAATTCAAAATTAAAACCATCAATTGAATGTTTCTGGAGGGAGACCTCTGTGGCTCCATGAAGCAGTCTTCTCGAGATTGCATCATACTAAAAGGTCATGTCAGCTGTGGATAGTTCTGTTATGCCTGCCAGGGACCAGAGCCAGAACCTGGCCCCATCATAGAGGTGCAGAAAGCAGATGACAGTCCACCACCCCACCAGAAAAAGGCTCCAGAGTCAGCACAGCTTTACAAACAACTGGAGGGTTCACAGAAAACAAAGCCTCAAAAACTGTCATCAAACAATTACTGCAAATGAGTCACAGGGAACAAGGGATTTACTCAAATGAGCTCAAAACTCATTAGTACCCATTAACCTCTACCAGATGGCAAAACCCCGGCTCCCAGCTTGCTCTCCAAGTCGGTTCTGTTCCAGATGTTGGTGTCGTCATATCATCTTGTAGTGTTACAGTTGTTCCAGCATGTGGGCAAGCCCCAAAGGTTCAAGCTAAGTGCCAGTCATCCTGTGGGGGTCATTTGCTTTATTGTATTGTTTCCTAGTTTAGTGTAGCTTCACCTGCATGTTTTGATTCTGGCTTGTTTTGTGAGCTTGGCTCTTTAGGCATTTCTGACTGCTTGCAAATTGGGTTCTCTTTCCTGTATGCCTGCTAATGGCTGCCCTAGACAGCCAGAGTTTTCCTTCTCTGGTGTGTTTGAGTGTTTGTCCCTGTGAGGCCGGCCCAATCAGGTGGGGGGCCTTGCCTTGGCCTGTTCAGGGGTCTTGATCCCTCTGTTGGCTCCTCTATTGGTGTGTTCTTTAGTTGTGTTGGGGTGCGCTGAGGGTTCAGGTACTTGTTTACATGGCACAACGTGGTCACCTCCTATAGCCTGGTGGTTTGGCTTCGGTTGATGTCTGTTCATCCACCGAGCAGCCCCGGTTCTGGGGTACCTGCTTGGTTTTCCATCAGGCCCTGGGAATAGCCTCCAGTCTCTGGTGAAGTCCTTATGGGGTGACCCAGCAAGCCCAATCTCACTGCTGTAAGTTTGAAGGGTATTCATCATCTTTGCTACCTGGCAGTGAAAGTTCTTTCTGCCCTGTCCCCACAAGCTGCTTGTGAGGGAGCAGAACGAACTTGGTTGGTCTACCCTTGTGCTCATGATGGTTGCTAGTATGCTGCCCTATCAGCTGTTTTGGTCCTTTGTGTTGGGCTGATATTCAGGCAAGGGGGAGTTTTGGAGGTGAAACAGACTTGGTACCTGTGGTGTTGCTGTCTCCCTGGAATGTTTCCCTTTTTGTCCTTCTCTGTGGGTAGTTAGCTTCAAGGAGCAAACAGGGCTTGCCTCAGAAAACAAGCATTGACTGTAATGAAATTCCAGTTTTTGGGTGAGCCCCAGAAACTGGATATTGTAACCTTAAGGTGTAAAGTGATCATAGGCCATTGCTCCTTTCACCTCTCTGAGGGGGCCAGGTTCTGGCTTGTGGTCCCTGGTAGGCAACAAGAACTCCACAACTGATGACACTAGGTAGTATGGCACTTGGTCAATGATGATAGTTTCAGGGAGCTTCCGGGCTCGCCCAAAAAGTGGCGTTTCATTACAGGCAACACTTTTTTTTTTTTTTTTTTTTTTTTTTAATAAGACTAAGGGTGTTACCACACATCAAAAATTCTTCTTGTAGTTATGATTTTCTATACCGTTAATATTATGGTGATTTTAACAATAATTAAAGAGGCATTATGCAAATTTTAAGTAACTGAATGTTGACCATGTAAGGTCAACATTTTACCTTGCTTAGAACCAGTCTTTGCTAATTCATTGAGCATAAAACCAAGACCCAGTTGTGCATTTGTAATTCATGTAATTAAAGTAATTTAATCTTAACTATAATATGTTTCAGAAATGAATCTGCAATGGGCAGATTTGGATCAAACCACACTTTAGACTCTGACTGTAGTTCAATAAACAGTGGGCGACGACCAAGTGTGGACACCACTTCCACCTATCTCTCCTTGGAATCTGTTACAGTTGATGATGAACTCAGCCAAAACTCAAGGTACCACAGTCCTGTTGAACTTGGGTAAGTTCCTTTATGACAAACCCACAGTATTTTTCTGAGTGTTGTGCAGCTTTGATTTAGTGAAATATCCTAAATACAGATACATTTGGCTCTGAAAATTGCAAATTTTTACTCCCATAGTTGTGTAAATTCATTGAACAGGAAGGAATATTTTAGCAGAGATGCCCAGCATTTCATATCAAAAGAACCAAGTGAATAAATTAAAAAGAATGCCATTATGAATAGAGCAACACCCATACATACTACCTGTTTGAGATTTCGAGGATCAATGTACCCACAGCCCGGTCTCTGACCAGGCCTCCTGATTGCTGGTCTGATCAACTAGACTTGGGTAGATCTACTGGAGAGATTTACTGTAAAAGATGAAAAGAATGGCAAGAAATGTCCAAACTCTACCATCTATTCAGTCAAATGCTAGACAGGGCACAGACAATGTGGCACCCCTACCAGAACCACAGATATTAACACCAACTAAAATACCAAGCACTTCCACAGGTATGATCTGCCATCACACAAGATATCCAGATATGCAAAACAAATTCCACTTTATAACTGGTCTCCTAATGAGAGCATTTTTTGATGGATCCTCATCTTCATGTCTGGTATTTCTGACATGTTTTATCACCACATTTATGGGAAGCAAGTGACTTTGTCAGTGGTGTCCCACTTGCATTCCTCTTTTTGGTGACAGTATGAGGTTTCTTGGCACTTTTTTTTCACCACTTCCTTTCTCTTCGTCATTGTTCCTCGGTTTCTGAGTGTTATCTTGAGGTTATCTTGAGATGATTTCGGGGCTTTAGTGTCCCCGTGGCCCGGTCCTCGACCAGGCCTCCACCCCCAGGAAACAGCCCGTGACAGCTGACTAACACCCAGGTACCTATTTTACTGCTAGGTAACAGGGACATAGGGTCAAAGAAACTCTGCCCATTGTTTCTCGCCGGCGCCCGGGATCGAACCCGGGACCACAGGATCACAAGTCCAGCGTGCTGTCCGCTCGGCCGACTGGCTCCCTATGCCGTGTAGTGTGTAGTGCTCTCCTTTCTTTCCTGGCTTTTTCTTGATCAACATCTTATGCCAAATACTATTGCCTCACATCATGCAGTGCAGCTTGCATTCAGGGTCTTTACTGCCTCTGGTCCATATCGCAAGCTGTTTTGTACATTGCTTCACCTCTGGAAGTCTCTGTTTTTAGTTTCCCTTGCCTCCAGTTGCCAGGAGGGAGAGCTTCACACTCTCCTCCAGAGATGGGGATTTTGTTAATTTGCAGCCAGCTCCTTTTTGGTAGGCTGATTCGGTAGTAAGAATGATTCGGTAGGCTTCTTGAGGAATTCTTTAGTCATTGATGCTTTGTTGATTTGGCCCTGGTGTATCCAGTATGGTTTGATGCATATTAATGCATCCATGCTGTATCCAGTGGTGGCTCTTCACTGCTGCCTTCATGCCAATAATTCTGCCTCAGTGGATCCCTTGTGGGATGATCCTTGTTTCCTTCTTTATTATTTTCATTTTGAAAATACCTCTTATTTTTTATTTTTACCTCGATATATATATCTTGATCACTATCCCCGCTCAGTCTTCGGGTACACATCTTTACACCCAGTAGTATATGAAGCTGTAATCAGTGGCCGCCTCTACTGCACAAGCTAAGGTGATCATCCCTGCTATAAGCAGATAATTAGGTTACCTTTCCATCCTTAGAATACATTTCACATTTATTATAGAATTTATATTATTTGTCAATAAATAATATTACATTGGAATTTAAATATATGCAGTTGGCAATTGATCCAAATTTCCCTTGACATCAATTAATTTTACATATGATTAGGTTTCCTCCCTTTGGATGTGATATACATGCATCTTGAATCTTCAAACATTATATCCACACTGAAGATTTTCATGACTAAAATCCCTTGCAGTGGGAAAAAATTTCCTTCCTCATCTGACAAAACTGTATTTCATAAACAGTCTGTAATTGTAATGTTTGATCGTGCTTTGATAAATTTATAGTAAAGTGATAACTTTTGGCACAGTACGTGCAGTCCAGTTGTAGACCGACTGGTGCAAGTTGACTCGGATGAGAATATGGATGATGATGTCTTCAGCGAGGATCAGGAGGTGCAGGCGGTCATGAGAGGTGCAGGAAGTCACTCGTCTCCTTCACGAGCACCTTCTCCTCTCACTCTGTCACATTCACACCATCACAGTCGCCAAATGTCCAACCACCACTCTGTGCCTTTTCTTGCTGCACAGTCACAGGTACTAACTAATGTCTGTGTGTGTGTGCGTGTGTGGTGACTAAGTCTTTGACAAGTGTGGGATTTAGCCTGATAGTTGCTTGTGTTATTATGGAAATGACCCTATTATGGTTGTGATATTAACAGGAATAAATATGAATAGAATGCAAAGTTGTGTATACATTTTTTATGATTTTCAGTAGATATTTGCATATGAAATTTATTTCTTTTATTTTTGTGATATTCTTCACGTACAAGTACACAATATTACAACCCCCAGCAACAAATAAAAATAGTTAAGTTAGTCACAGACGCTGAAATAAAAGCAAATGTTACTAACACAGCCAGAAATTTAACCTTATGTATACATGGCTGTCATAAATAGTGTCACTCCTGGTAGCTTCTTAAAGCTAACTTGCAGAGATTGCTCCATGCTAAAAGGTCACATCAATCATGGAAGTTCTGTTTGGCCTACCGGGGACCAGTGCCAAAATCTGGCCTCCACACAGGTACAGGGAGTGAGTGAGAATTCGCCACTCCACAGGGAAAAGTCTTAAAAAAAAGTAAATGAAACTTTACAGACAACTGGAGGGTTAACAGAAAATGAAGCCTTGAAACCACTAAACAACTTTGCAAACAATTCACACAGAACATTGGATTCACTCAAACTGGCTCGTAACTCATTAGTATCGGTTATCAGCACCAGGCAGTCCAATTCCAGCCCTCGGCTGGCTTTCCATGTCAGTTTATGTGCTGATAAACAAACCAATGACAAACTGACAAACCTGGAAGAAAGGGGAAATCAGGGAGTCACCGGGGCTCCTCCAGAAAGAGACGTATCTTTACATTCAATGCTTGGTTTCTGGAGGGAGCTTCCATCGACTGCCTGGAGATAATTAACCACAAAGAACAAAATGGGACTTCCCAGGAAAGGGGAGAGGCAGCAAGGCACTATGATGAAGAGGAGAAACCAGGCTTGGAGACACAGCCTAAAACAACACTTGACTGATTGGGACCAGGAACATTGGCCAAACAGCTGGGCTTCCAGAACCAGATCCTTTCCTTGCCAGAACTTTCCTTGAAAAGAACCAGATTGGGTTTCCTCAATTTCAGTTAAGGCTTTCCTGTTGAATATTTTGTTCGTTTGCAGCATTCTCCTTTTCTAGTGAAGAATGGGGTGGCTAGCTTTCAGGGGGATCCATTGGTTATTGGTGCTTGGTTAGTCCAGTCTGGGAGCATCACTACTTGTGTCCTATAGTGCCTCTTAGCCGCTACCTGCGAGTCACCAGTTTTATCTTGGTGGACTCCTTGCTGGTTGACCATGTTCCCTTGATCCAAGGCTTGTATTCATCAGGTCTTTTGCAGTGTCTTTAAATCTAGCCAGCCTGTGGTCTTCCCACCAGCCCATGATGTTTGCAAGTGTGCTGCATTGGCTGCAGTTTTCTCCAACATGTCCTGCACTGTTATTCAGGTTTGAGAGTTTTGGGATTCTAACAAGGTCCTGGCAGTCTTGTATTTGGTTAATGTGTCTGGTTTCAGTCAGGCATGCGCTTTGTTAGGCAAGGTCTCCTGGCCTGGATTTTCTTTTTTAACCTAGTGCATGCCACCTCTCCTCCTTGACAAGTCCCATTTTAATTCCTTTTGGGTAGCTTTAAGGAGCCACCAAGGTCTCTCCCAGGAGCCCAATGTTGAATGTAATGTAACACGTCTTTCTGGACATTTCCGAGGCTCCCAAATTCCCTACCTCATCGTCGGTGGGCTGTTCATGAGCTCCAGAACTGATTAAGGAAGATGATTACATGTGTAAGCCAGGCCACCTAATGGTGGCATTTGGTACTATAAAGTTTCATGCTAATTTTCAATGTTTTTCTTGTTTTGTGTGAATCACATGCAGAGTTGTCAGGTGTTGTGGCACTGGCCTTTGTTATTCCTCCAGTTGTCTGTAAAGCATTACTGACTGGATACTTTTTCAGTGTGGTGATGAATTGTCACTCACTCTCTCTGCCTCTATGAAGGGCCAAGTTCTAGCTCTGGTCCCTTTTAGGTTAAACAGAACTCCCACATTTAATGTGACTCATTTGCATGGAGCAATCTCAGCAAGACAGTTTCAAGGAGCCACCAGAGCTCATCCAGAAAGAGGCATTTCATTATATTCGATGTTTGGTTTTTAAAAAAAAAAAAATGTAGGTGAAGGGGCCAAAAAATTTTGGTATGGAAAATTTAATTTTCAGAGTTCCTCTCCTCATCAGAGCCACTTCATGCCCATCAATGCACCACAGCCAGGCTCAGACTTGGGTCTGCAGGTTAATGGTATCAAGCGGAAATATAATGTTTGGAATTCCTCGCCTGGTCACTTGCACAAGGCTTCGTCTGGAGATGGGCATAATGACAATATAATGCAGGACACTCATTTTCGTAATCATCACTCAGATTATAAACCACAGCATCGTTCCAGAGCACCAATTGCAGCAGAGGACCAGGTAGGATTCCTACACCTTTCTTGCCATCTGCTGCAGAATAGTTAGAATCCATTCCATCTATGCATTTATATTGGCATTTATATACAGAATGTACCATTTAATTTTCCTCATTCCCTTCTAATTATTAAAAAATCTAATGGGCCAAAGATTACTTACATTTCCACTTTTATCATTACCCTGTTCCCAATTTCATGGGGCTAGGGGGCATTTAACATGGAAGAAAAAAAGTGTTAAATGGAATGAAGTGTCAGTTTCTGGGTAAGCCCCTATAGCTCCCTGAAGCTCTTATGCCGAGATGGTTACCATCTACTGGGTTACATCAGCCATAGAGTTCTAGAACCAGAACTTGGCCCCTTCTGAAGAGGTGCATACAGCAGTGGCACTATGATAAAAATGTCTGTGAATTTTAATCATGTCCACCTCCACCAGGAAAGCACCCACAAATTCAGTGAAACAAAACAGACTGCTTCTGGTTATAAGGAAATATCAGCACCTCAAAATTGCCAAATGAACTCCCCCAACAATGTAAACAAGCAGTTGAAAATTCATGAAACTATTGCAAACTCGTTCGCCCTATGTCCTTTTCCACTCGTTTTGGGGAAGGAGGGAGGCAAACAGAGTTAGCTGACTGCTCCACCCCCAGTTCTTTGTTGATGGTAGACATTGTGACATGCCTTCTCTTTTGCTCTGGCTCCCATGTTCTGCTTCAGCTAAATGGTGGTTTTTTTCAATGCACTTTTGTGCTGTGTGAATAGGGTGCTTGGAACTGCATGTGCACAGGGTTTTCTTCCCTGTGTGCTCCCTAGTGCTGCCAGGGTTCTCTTCCTGAAGTTTTTGGGGTTCGCTCCCTTAAAGGGCCTCCTTGCTTCTGGTGTTCCTCACCCTGGGTAAGTCCATCCGTTTTTGGCTTTCTGTCTTCTCTGGGGTCGGAAGCGAGTTTTGGCTGGTGGGGAGGAGCCACACTGGGATTCGTGCAACCTAACTATGACACACCGAGGTCTGCCTTCTCAGCCTAAGGTGAGCTGTGTTGGCCTACTTACACCCATTTCATTGTTAACTTGAGGTGTTTTTGGGGCTTAGCGTCCCCATGGCCCAGTTGTTGCCCAGGTCTCCTGGTTGCTGGACTGGTCGACCAGGCTGTTGGAAGCGGCTGCTCGCAGCCTGACGTATGAGCAGCCTGCTTCTCAATTGTGCAGACGATTATTCAATTTGTCTTCAGATACACAGATACTTCCTTCTCGGGGGACCTGTTTCTTATTCTGGGGTTCTAACATAAGTCAAAGGGCCTGGGGTTCCTGCAGGGCCATTCCCTGCAGATCCTGGAAAATCTCTGTGGGTTCAATGGTCCGATGGATATCCCCCACTGAACCTGCTCTTGCCTTGTGTTATTTATAATACCCAGAAATTAACATTTCATTACATTCAATGCTTGTTTTTCATAGTCAATCCTCTTATTGTTAAAATTGAATTGATTGAATAACTCTTCTCTTTTGTTGAGCTTTTTGAACCTACGCTGTATTACGAGTTATGATGGTGTGAGCTTACTTTGTGCACTCGGACCACACGCTTCAATGAGCTTGTGGCCTGAGTATGTAGTATTTGAGATTGTCCCTAATTTGTTTTGTTGTTTGTGAAAATTATGTTGAGAATATTTTCATTCCTATTTGGCTGTGTTATCTGGTGACTAAGCAAAAATTTGTCACAGATTCTCAATAGCTCTCTGACCTGTGGTTAGTTATTTCCAAGTTGATTTTCTACTATAATGTTATTGTTTGCTATTCTGTACTCAAATATTAAAACTTGAAAGGCCTGCTTCTCACTTAGCAAGAACTATAAATCAAACTTGTAATTTACCATAAAACAGTAATACCTGTACTGTAATGCATCATCAAACATATGCATAAATAATTATGCATTATTTATACTTAATTTGTGACAATATGCATTATCACAAAGTCAGTAGTCAATTAAAATAAGTGCACAAATTCCTAATTCATTCCTCAGTATGACAAGGATGTCATACAAGGATGAGAAAGGACAAGTTTGAGCTGGTTTCGATAGATTTGATAGTTTGCCTACATTGTTTGGGGAGTTGTTTTGGTAGTTTTTAAAACTTCGGTTTTTTGAACCCAGATGTGGTAGGTAATGCTTAATTGACTTTCTTGATGCTTTGCCGGTTGGATACTACAGTGTTAGCCATTCTGTGCCTCTATGATGAAGGTGCCAGGTTCTGGGTCTGGTCCCTGGTAGGTCAAACAGAACTCTGCAGCTGATGTGACCTAGCAGTTGGGAGCAATCTCATCAAGACAGCTTCAGGAAATCACAAGGAACTCCCTCAAAAAATTATCATAGAGTTGCTAAAAAGATAGTCTTTGTTGTGCTATGAAAAGCAAGAATTGACAAAAATTGAATAGTTCTTCTAAAAAAGCTGAGATGGCATCTTCAATATTCAGTATATTGTACTTTGTTTTATGCCTTTTCCAAAAACATTCATACAATATTTTCTTTGGCAGTTACTGGTTCAGCACACCAATGTGGTACTGTCACCCCCAGATGAGATGTGTTCTATTTGCATGAGCAGTTTACAGGAACCATCTGGATACTTTGATGATAATGAGGCGGTTGGGGCTGCTTCACGCATGGCAGGTAAATTGTCAATTAATGCTCCTCCCATTTATTTGTAGGAATACATATATTGCTTGTAATGTACAAGATTGTCAATCAAACATTCCTTACTCAGATTAACCAGTTAGTTGATTTTTATATCTATTTTTAGTTCAAATAATTTGAGTTTTATCCCCTATACATACAAACTGAAATTCACTGCATTGAAGAAAGTAAAATTGGGGCATAGCTTGCTATAGACATTCAGTGGTGCATTGGTTCAGACAAACCCAGTGAAAATGTGTGTGGACCCATGCTAGTGGAGAAGTCTTGTCATTCCCTGCAGAATTTAATATAAAAACTATCAAGTGCTAGCACAAGTAGAGCAATATTTTGCTGTTACTTTGATAACAAGTACTATGTCAAGTACAAGTATGTATGTCCCTATCAGTTTACTAGAGGGAGATTCAATGCTTAGGGCTTAATTTTTTTTATGGAAAAGTATTTATCAATGAATCTACAGGTAATAATTATTTATAGTTTATATCTTGAATAATTTTGGTGCTGTATAATTTTATAATATTCATGCTTTATATTGTAGGCCTCGGAAGCGATGGTGTGGTGAGACTTATTTTGTGTGATCACCTGTTTCACTTGGCATGTGTAAGAGAAATGGCTAAGAACTCTCCTCAATACCTGGAGTGCCCCAATTGTAAGACGCTACATGGGGAGAAGCATGGCAATCAGCCCAATGGCCACATGAACATCAACATTATATCAAGGCCCCTTCCTGGTTACCATAATTGCAGTACTATACAGATCACATACAAGTAAGTACATTGTGATAAAATATTGCTGACAAATAACATATGCTTTATGTAAAGATAAAAATCATTACCATTACTATTAAGACTTCTCATAGCCGAGTGGATAGAGCGTCTGCCTCGCACGCGTGGGGTTTGGTGGGTTTGAGTCTCCTAGAGCCCACGTGGATGGAATTACCATTTCTCTCTCCTGTTTTCATGGGTTGGTAAGGCATTTGCCCAGAGCAGTATAGAAAATAATTTTTTTTTAATATTTTCAAAATAAGAAGAAAATTGGCATGAATTTTGCCTCCATAGGAGACATTGAAGAACTACAAATATCAGTAATTGGCAGCACGAAACAGCTACCAAACAACAACATTTATTCAACAGTGATAAATTACATCTGTTTTTAATATGGACAAATAATGAGGAACTTAAGTTGGACATAGGATACAAAACACAATTAGATCTCATAGTTTCGAAACATCATGTAGGGGATCCAGGAATAATTGTCTGACAACCTAAGGTTTGTGAGCATAACAGAGCAAATGTGTCATCAGGTTCTTCACAGTATCATCAAATCTTGCCATCCTGCAGAATATTCTCAAGCCTATGATGTTTGTAAATATTCGGTTTTGGCACTATCTTCTTTAATATGTCATGGGCTGATATTCAGGCTCGGAGGTTTTGGCATTCTAACAAGGTGCTGACAGTCCGGTATTTGATTAACGTTCTTTGTCCCAGTCGGTCATGTGTGCCTTTGGGCCATGTTGCCCAGCCTGGTTTCTTTTCTTCATCTTAACACTTTGAGCTGCCTGGCATGCGCACCAGTCCTCCCTAAGGTGGACCTGGCATTTTTCGTGGCTGCCCACCCACACTAAAATGTGTATACTCTTTTCAGTTTTTCTCGTGTCAATTTTTGTGTTATATTGTTCATTTTAGTATCAAATTGTTCCCAATAGAATTCTCTAAAAGGAATGTATGCCTATAAGGACAAAAAGCCCAGTGTGCCACCCACAGCTTACCCGAAAACCGGCCAAGCGTTACCCGTGAGTGAGCACCCATCTGCACATCCACAACACCCACACTAAAATGTGTATACTCTTTTCAGTTTTCGCACGTCAATTTTCCTGCTACTTTGTTAATTCACTGCTGGGTTTTCCCTAGGGTTTGAGTATGCATGCTTATGTTTTAAAGCTATGAAAGAAATACATACTGAAAACCATGTTCAAGAATAAATTTAACTTATGGTTCATTAAGAGAACTTATATTCAAAGGCTATATTTTTCATTAAATTACGTTTTCTGTTTAAAATTAATCACTTTTTTTTTTTCTTCAATCTGCAGTATTAGCAGTGGTATCCAAGGTCCCGAACATCCAAGACCTGGCCGACCTTATCATGCTATTGGTTTTCCCCGGACTGCATATTTACCCAATAATGACAAAGGCAAGAAGGTATGTATGTACTGTATATATATGGATGTGGTTCTATAATGATGTGGGTCTATAATTTAGAGGGTCTTCTCGGCTACCATGTTTATAGATTGGAACTATGTTTGCATATTTCCATATAACTACTAAGATTCCTGTGCACAAGGATGTCTGGAATATTAATTGGAGTGGAATACTCAGCTCAGTTGCACATTCTTGCAGCACCCAAGGTGAAACTCCATCTGGTCCAACTGCTTTATTTCTTCCTAGCCCCTTGAGTAATTTTTCCTCTTCGTCTTGAGATACCTCTGTGTGTTCTATGGTGTGCCCTGGAATTGGCATTGGGTCCGGCTCTCTGAAATCCTCATTTTGTACAAATACACTTTGGAACTGTTCATTTAGTGTTTCACACACTTTTTTTCATTCTCAGTGAATCTGTTCCCCCATTCTCAATCTGGATTTTATCCTTTACATGCAACTTGCTTTTAATAAATTTATAAAAAAGGCCTGGGTCTGTTTTTACATTTGTCCGCTACCCCTTTCTCAAAGTTCCTTTCTGCCTCTCTCCTTACTGCTGTGTATTTGTTTCTTGCTTATAATGCTGGTATGTTTGAGGGTTAGGCCTCTACTTATGTTGAACCCATTTTCTTGTCTTTTCCTCTCTGGCCCTCTCACAATTTCTGTTGAACCAATCCTGTTTTCTGGTCCTGCATCTTTGTTTTGGTCTGAATGTTTGTGTGCCTTCATCATATATTTAAAAAAATTGGCGTACGTTTCATTTACTTTCTTGCCTAGCAACAAGTATGTCCATTTAAATTCATTGAAGAATTCTTTAAATTTTCCATAGCGTTCTCTCTTGAAATCGAGTTTATTAACTGTTTCAGTGTCCCCATTCTCTTTTTGATTATATATTGCAAAGCATGTTTAACTTCCAAAAGGACATGATCACTTTCCCACTGGAGGAAGTTACTGGATGTCAAATATCTCTGCTTCTTTCCTGGTAAATATTAGATCCAGTATTGACAGAACATCCCCTTCCCTCATTCTTGTGGCCTGCTTGATGTGTTGATACATGAATGTCTCTAGAATGACATTTACAAATCTGCCTGTCCAAATGGTCTGCATTCATGCTTTGTAGGCCTCCCAGTCAATTGCTTTCAAGTTAGAGTCCCCCAGTATCAACAATCATGATTTATCTTTATCTGCTTTTACTATAATCTCTCCTGACCTTTATGAGGTCCTCTCATTTGTCATAAAACATTTTGTTATTTATAAATTTAAACTGTACAGTGCCTTTAAATGGTAAAAATTTGAGAGGAAGAATGTTTCAGGTATTGAAACTGTTGCAAGAAGCATGGCGGCGACGTCTGGTGTTCACCATTGGCACATCAGTTACTTTAGGAATACAGGATGCAGTCACCTGGAATGAGATCCACCACAAAACTGAATGGAATAATGCTGGTGGGCATGGATACCCTGATCCAAACTACCTTGACAATACACTAAAGGAGCTTGCTTTACATGGAGTTACCGAAACAACGTTAGTGTAGCTGTTTACTCGTATCAGAGATGTAACACTTTGGTATTTGTTGGTAAGTATTAAATGAAGGTTTTTCTCGCAAAAATAATTAAAAATATTGTAATGCTTAAAGAAGCTTTGTCATGAAATAAATTACATCTTTAAAAATTAGGCATCTTAAACTTATAAGATGTGTGAAATTTAGCATTTTAAATTTATGTAAAATAATACTTATTATATCTATTATATAATACCTAGAAATAACAAATATTTACATATTTTTAATATTATTGTATTTACATAAGATTGCATGTTGCAATCTTAATGTACAAAAGTTGAAAGCGTTACAAAATGTGTGAAGACCAAATATAAGTTTTTCTCAGCATTAGACTTGCTAAAGGTTCCTGTAGAATTGACATATTGTGACTAGCATAAATGTTTTAAAGTTCCTACAAATGTTGGTTTGTTGCTTAGCAAAGGGAGCAATCTTGTTCAACTGTGTAAAATGTTCAAGTACACGGTCACTACTATACACTTAATACACACACACATACACTGTATAATATGTATTATATATATATATACACACACCTAAATGCATATTGTCAATATGAATTGTATCTTTACATTCATGTTGACCAGACCACACACTAGAAAGTGAAGAGACGGCAACGTTTCGGTCTGTCCTGGACCATTATCAAGTCGATTGTGGTCTACAATCACCGAGTTGAGTATCTGTACTCAGAGTATAGTGTCGGCCTGCTTGACTATTGCTGTTCAGAGGCGAGTGGGACTTTGTCTTATAGGGCGACTGAGTGTGCTGTTCGAATAAGTACTTTTCGTAAACTTCTACCTGTCTTTTTTTTCCTTTTTTTTTTTTTTGTAAACAGTGAAAGGATATGGTAACCCCATTCCCAACCACTGTGTGGTGAAAAAAAAAAATGCCTTATATTCCATAATAAAAGGTTGGATAAATTGGGTTTAGAACCTCCCTAAATTACTCTCCGTTAAAGGCATAAACAGCTTTGGATCTGGAGCTTGGGCCTGCCCATATCCTAGAAAACAAAGGCTGTCTCATGGTTTTTTTTTTTTTTTTTTTTTTTTTTTTTGAGATATATAGAAGAGTTGTTACATTCTTGTACAGCCACTAGTACGCGTAGCGTTTCGGGCAGGTCCCTGGAATACGATCCCCTGCCGCGAAGAATTTTATGAAATGTGAGGAGATTAAATAAACATGAGGATGGAAATGGTGCATCTCATTCTCTCAAGAAATGCACCTCATTTTGTGTGCTATGGTCCCAAACACACAAAATATGGGGTACCATGAAAGGTAGTTCACAAATATGTATCCACATTTTGTATGCATAGGTAGGTTTAGTTAGGTGGGGACTTAGGTTTGTAAATTTTAGTACCCCCTTACATTGTATATTTCAGCAAATGAAGAGAACAGGCTGAGTAATGAGCATTTTTAAGTAAGAACTGTTTGATGTGTCACGCTCATGTGAGATAAAGATTAGACAGTGAAAATTAAAAGTGTTATGATGAGAATTGTGTTAAGGATTGGGACAGAATGAGAGTAGGGAGAGGAAAAAAGCCTTTTTAACCTTTAATGAAGGAAAATGAAATGGTGCAGTGAATGACTTCTTTTGGTGCAATATAAGACTGCTTGTGGGTGAAATTCATGTTTAAATGGTTTAATGTAACGATGTTCCATTTGATGACAGGAATAGAGAATAAAAACAAGATTTTGTTTTTCTTTTTTATTTATTTGTTTTTATTTTGTTTGTATTTATTTAAACACAAAAAGTTTTTGAGTTTTTGTAAAACTAAGAGGAAAATTTATGATACATACCAATATGTTACAGTATTGTTATTATGGGTGACGTGAATGGTAAAGAATGGTGGGGCGAGTGTTCAGATTGGCCAGAACTTAATGATAATGGCTAAAGACTGAAAATTACATTTAATGAAAGAAAACTCTGCAATACCATTATATATTATGGAACACTGATGAGGAACACTCATCAGTGTTCCTACAGATGAGTGCATCCCACCTAGTCTACAAGTTAGTCATATGAACCTAAAGTGTACAAGACAAGAGGCACAAGCATCGCATGTTGTGTCATCCATCAGGGCTCTATGGTTTCACCTTCTTACACATATTACATGCATCTGCACCCAACTTATTCTTAACTAAACCTATGTGCTCCTGATCAACTAAACCTATGTGCTTCTTATCAAGAAGACATAACCTACACATTTGTTAAGGTCACACTGCACTTATGGTCTCAGCCAGCAGTCCTCAACACTACACACTGGGTTTGGTGGCTCAGGCCCCACACACACACTGATGGAATTCACTTCATTTATTTAGTTTTACTCTATTGGCTTATGTTCATTGCTACATAGTATTCTATTTATTTCCCACACATTTCAGACTTCCACCCACACAAGCACTGCTGTAGACTCTAAAACTATTAAGTGTACCCATGCAGATAAGAAAAGGAGGACTGTATATATGATGAGAGCAAACATTAAGTGAGAAGATTAGTCAAGCACAAAAAGAGCAAAGTGAATGAGGAGTTAGACATAAAATCAAATAACAATTCACGAAATGAAAACCCATTTTGGAAAAGTTAGAAAGTGCAGCAGAGACTGATGGAAATGTCACTCTAAATATTGATGATAAATACAATATTGGAAACAAATAATTAATCAAAAATATATTAGGACTTGGAGGAATGAGTATTTTGATAGTGAAATTGATGAAGCTCAACTGTGAACATGGCGGCTTTTGTGGTAAAGGAAAAGTTGAAGATAGAATATTGATACAAGAGAGAAGTGCATCAGTACACAGGGTGAAATGTGGAAAAGTTGCACATACAGTATTGTATTCATAAGGCAAATTTTAAAAGGCAATTTTAGATTTAGTATTATGTACTATATTATAATAAAAACTCGATAGTCTTTTGAGCATTATTAAGTTAAATAATAAATGCCCTGAAAGTTTTTATTTAGAAAGATGAGCATGTTTAAAAATTTATTCCGTAATTGGTAAATTTTATATAATACAGTAATGTAATAGTATGCTACGGTTATAGGATGTTTCCTAGGCGGGTGTGTGTGCACATGTATGGATGGGGGAGTCATGAGGGAGGCCATTCTAGAGAAGGTTTTGATGTAGTGTGTGATTGGAAGTAATGGAGTACAATTAAGAAATATGTGCAGATTTGTTAATATAGATATGTTAGATACCACTACTAAATGTGAATGGGGAAAAATAAAGCAACAATATTGCAAAGAAAAGGAAACTGTAAAATAAAGCTAAACAGAAAAGGCCTAGAAGATGTAGATCAGTATAAAAACCTAAAGTCTGTAATGGACAAAGAGAAATTTGTCGAAGTTGAGAGTAGAGTAAGGCAAGAGAAGACAGTGGCAGATGTAATGAAGGTTGTGGTTAGGAAGAGACGTAGCTGGAGGGTATGAAAACCTGCTAGTGCTCACCATTGTTTGGTTGAGAGATGCTGGTGTGTCATGGTTATACACAAAATCAACAGTTGGAAGTGTAGACATGGACTACTTACATTTGTTATGCTAGGAGTACAGGGTGAGGAATACACACCTTCTGAAAGTCACTAAACCAAAGATTGATAAAAGTATATCGAGACAGTTTGGCCATATCGAATGACTGGATGAAGATAACGGTAAAGTAATTACATTCGTGTCAATTTGACTGTAGAAGACAAGAGAGGATGCCCAAGAACATCCATGTAGACATGATAATTGTTTGAGGAGCACACAGAGGTTGCTGCTGAATAAGGTTAAGAATTTTCAAGTTGTTAAGGAGTGAATGTTTGACATACAATGTTTTAAATGACTTCAGTACCTACTTTAAGCACTTAACACCTGGTCATATGAAGCAGTAGTGTGTGTGGCGATACTGAACTTGCATAATAGTGAGTATATTGTGGAAGATGGGCTGAATGCTGGTGTGTTTTTGAATGTCTTGATCTCCTTTCCCTGTATTGCCTTCCTTTTTCCTCCAGCATACTTTCTCATCGTCCCGTAAGAATTGGAGGCAATGTAATCATGCTGATGTATTTAATTTTGACTCTCTTCTTTGTCCATGACCATAACTCTTGGTAAATGTGATGGATTAAGTAATTCCAGTCTGTGATTTAAGAATATGACGATTTAGAGTGTAAAAAGTTAGTACAACTTTGATTGGTGCTGATATCTTTAGAATTTTATAAGCAACTTATATTGATATTAGGAATAATTTTTAGTTAATGAATATGTACTGTGAGAAGCCAAGATATGGACATATTCATGTTTTGTTTGTAGTGTTAATTATTTGATTGAATAATTTGCAAGTGAAAATACTGTATAATAAAGTTATTTTAACCATTATTTGTAATGAGATTTTAAGCTTAAGGAACACTTACAATTATTTCATTCTATCGGTATAAATGTTGAAAAGATAAAGTTGCTGTAGGAAGAAGTTCAGTATACATATACAGTATATCAGATACTGTATGAGCTCGGTTAGCCGTAGCCCACTAAACCGAATATTTGGGTTATCTGGCCAAAATCGGATTCGAATCATTTTCTGCCAAACTTCACCATATCCAAAACAAAATTTTGATAACCGAAGATTAGGTTACATAAATGTTCAAGAACTACACATTTGAAGATCGACAGTTTCACACGAGAGGACAAATTACAACAAGGTAACCTGAAGTTTCTCTTAAATTATATTTTTATTTATAGTGTGGGGTGGCAATAAGATTTATAGTGGCTGTGGTACAAAAAATTGCAAGCATGGTCATTTTTGGACTTCCTCTGTAAGAATTCTGCTTATCCAAATGTCTGGCTTATTCGGCAGGGGGTCCTTCCTATATCATTTGGATAAGCGAGTTTAGACAATACAGTAGTTGCAATTTATTTCTTTGCGATACTCTTTAGTGCGAGGGCGCCTGACAGCTGGGTGGACAGCGCTTCGGATTCGTAGTCCTGAGGTTCCGGGTTCGATCCCCGGTGGAGGCGGAGACCAATGGGCAAACTGTTTCTTTCACCCTGATGCCCCTGTTACCTAGCAGTAAATAGGTACCTGGGAGTTAGACAGCTGCTACGGGCTGCTTCCTAGGGGTGGAGACCTGGTCGAGGACCGGGCCGCGGGGACACTAAGCCCCGAAATCATCTCAAGATAACCTCAAGATAGTGTGTGGTCTTGTAGCACACATGTCTATGCAGAATGTGTGTGTGTAGAATACACAGCTGTACAGCAGGTGTGTTTCTGTGGCATTCACAGCTTTACAGCAGGTGTGTTTCTGTGGCATACACAGCTATACAGCAGGTGTGTTTCTGTGGCATACACAGCTATACAGCAGATGTGTTTGTGGCTTACACAGCTATACAATAGCATGTGCTCCTTTGGTATACACAGCTATACAGCATGTGTGTGTGGTATACACAGCTATACAGCATGTGTGTGTGGTATACATAAGCTATACAGCATGTGTGGGTGTGTGGTCCTGGGTTATCACTAAACAAATCAAATCTTATTTACCAAAACGTGTAACTGACATTGACATGTGAGTGTGCTTTTAAAGCCATCCCTAGGAGAGGTCAGAGAGAAAAGGAAATAGTGATGACTGGTCCATCGCTAAGGAAGGTAGCCCTGGGTGGTGGTGACCTCCACATTGCTGGGGAGGGGTAGTCCTGGGTGGTGATGACTGGGCCATCACTAGGGGGAGCTACTACTAGGGCTACCCTCCCATCTCTAGGGTGGGTAGCCTTAGGCTGTGATAACTGGCCCATCTCTAGGGAGGGGAGCCCTAGGTGGTCAGGCCCGTCACTAGGGAAGAAAGCCCTGGCTGATGATGACTGGCCCATCACTAGTGAGGCTTGTCATAAAGTAGTATTCATAAACATGCTGAGACCAGTAAGTAAAGTGTAGTATCAAAACTCAAGTATGGTGGAGATGAAATAACTTCCTTATTTACCTGTTTTGTAAATATCTGATCCCAAAAATTTAGTTTAACATTTTTAGCTTTGCAAATGGTCTTTATTTACAAGATGCAACTCTTATATACTGCCTACTATGGAGTGTAAGAAGTATGTTTTGATCAGGAGAGGTGAAGGCAACAGGAAAGAGAAGGTCATGTCCAGGGATGTTTTACAGACATCCAAACTTGTATTTGTTGTCTCTGAGGTTTTGCTTCACTTAGATACATACAGTAAAGAATATAACATGGCTACAGTTCCCGTGGTTGTGTGTGTGTGTGTACACAGTCACATACACAATCTTACAATTAATTTTTTTTTGTTAAAAGTATATTGGTGAATGTATGAATTATTTTATATTAGTGACTACTGAATATTTAATTGTATTTTTATTTATATGAAGCTAATTGACAATTACTGTGACGTTTTGAAAGCAAAGTTCATTGTAAGTTTTTAGTTTGTATGTTCAGCTTTATCATATATTGGGGAGAGAATAAGGGGCCTGTAATATACTGTACTTTTTTATGACAAATTATCACTACACTCCTTTAAATCTAGGGTCCTGGTAGTACAGGCTGGTTCGTTGTCAACTCTCGGTTGAGAATTCTGGGTCCAAATCCTGGGCGGAACAGAAATGGTTGGGTGCATTTCCAATCACCTATACCACCTAACTGTGAGTGGGTACCAGGAGTTAGTCAGCTTGTTGTGGGGTTGCATTCTGGGAAAAAGGGGGGTCAATAATTTGACTTTTGGGGGGATCTTGATATAACCTAATTGGTATATACACTCTGGCTTACTGGACCCCCGACACTATGAATTATTATTATTAACATCTAGTGCCAAACATCGTATTTATAAATATATGAGACCAGCATGTTAAATCATAGTTAACAACTAAGTTGCTTAGAGACAGAACATCTATAATAAAGTGGATTCTACCTATTCATTTCCATTTTAATTGGATTTATCTTAAGGCACTTAGACTGTGTGAATCATACAAGTACTGTACCAGTGATTGGAATATTATAGAGGTGTCAGAAGTTCTGTTTCAGTACTTTCAAGTCTATTTGGTTGGGTTGATCTACTTTATGGGAGGTGATGACTTTATTACTGAATGTCATATTCGTTTCAGTTTGTTATGTAAATGATACAATAATCCGTAAATGTAAATGATAGTCATCTAATGTATTTTTTTTTTCAATGTACAGAAATGTTAATTATTGTACTGTATACTGAAAACTATAGTATTTGATTGCACAGGTTATTACAGTTTCTACTTAATCTGAATATATTCTGCACCAATATGATGTTATTTTGATATTACTCTTAAGAAACCATTATTATATATACAGTATTCTTTTAAAGTAACCATTGAGTGGACAAGTTGATTTAATTTAGCAAAAAATATAATTTTATGGATAATGTTTTGTGTGGAGTTCTAATTAGCATTTAAACAAAACTATGATGCTTTCCCATAATTGTAATATTGTGCCTTACCACAATGAATGCAAACAAAACTATACAGTAGATAGGAAATACATGTACATTTGTACATAATTGTTCTACCCCAAATTAGCATTGTATTATATTAGCCAAATACTGTAAGTGTAAAATGTATTAGAGCAGAGGAGCATCTGTTTACATATTAGTCATCCATGCACGCTCTTTCATGAAAATACAAACAAATGATAATAAATTTATATTGAAGGTTATTAATTTTTATTGTACATGCTGTGTTAAGCATTATCATCACTACCCAATTTTTCACTTTCAAGGTGGGGAGAGACAAGCCTAAAAAAAAAAAATTGAACAGCAAGATCTGCGAATCAAGCATTTAATGTATTGACTCTTTCTGGTGGGTCCCTACAATGGCTCCTCTGAGCTATCAACTTGGCTTAGTTGCAAGCCCCAAGCATCCCACCACACCCTTGTTTGTCTACAGTGTCCACTGGGGCCCAGGA